TTCTTTGGAGTAGAGGCACTTGATTACTTGGTTTTAAATATGGAACATTCTTTGGAAAGACTAGACAGCTAAGATTAGGATAGACGTGTGCGGATGATGAGACTAGCATCCCTGTCTGGCGGCATGGAAACTTCTGGTGCCTCAGCACAGTGCTAAATGGTGTTGCAAAGATTAGCAAGTAGCAGTCTGGGACCTTCTTTTATCAGAAACAGTTTAAATTTTGTTGCAGTAGAATTAGGCCAATCACTGCTTGTTACAAAAAATTTAACAGTCTGTTTTTTATTGTCCCCATGATCATGTTTATTGTGAAGTGACTTACTGTCTTTGCTGTAAGAAAATTTCATTCTGCTAAATGAACTGGATTGCGTTAAAGCCACTGAGTCACGACTGTGACAAGTACTTCTGGAGGCTGAGGCAAGGGGATCAGGCACTGGGAGGCCAGCCTAGGTTACATGCTGAGTTCAAGGCCAGCCTGACCGACCTAGTAAGACTGTCCCCCCCCCCCCCATAAAAAAGGGTTCCTTTCTCAGGGAGTGGCTGTGCACCTCTGTTCACTGCCTCTGGGCAGGAAAAGAGAATGCTTTTTGTTTTGTGGAAACGGTGTGAATTAGCCAAGGAAATGCAGACCTGTCGGTTCTTGCCAGTTACTTGACATCATGGTGACCAGAGCACAGGCTGTGTCTTGTCTCCTTTTGGGTGTGTGCTTTATAGAGAGAGGGCAGCTTAGAGTGATGATAATATTCAAATCCATTTTCTGTGGAAGATTGGGAGGATCCTGATGAGTTGAGTTTCCCTGTTGCTATAAAATTAACATTTAGTACATCGTTTGTTAGGATTTGGGGCGAGGGTACTACTGAGAATTTAGGTTTAGCTAAATATTTATAAGCTGAGTCATACGATAGCAGTTTTACAAGTATATCAGTAGCATACTGTGAGCCTTATGAAATGGCTTTGTGCTCTTAACAGCTTTCCTTGATTTAGTTTTTCATTTAAAACTTCTGATGGCTGAGCACGGTAGTGCATGCTTATAATCCTAGTGCTTGGAAGGCTGAGGCAGGAGGACGGTCACAAGTTCAAGGCCAGCCTGGACTACAGAGTGAATTTAGGACCAGCTGAGCTACATAGCAAGACCTTGTCTCAAAAAACAAAACAAAACTTCTGATGATAAGTAGGTCCTGTAAATTCTTTTCTTTCTTTCTGTACTGGGAACTTTGGGCCTTGCCACACAGCTGTATTCCTAGCCCTTACTTTTCATTCTGAGACAGTCTTGCTAAGTTGCTAACTTGCTCAGGCTAGGCTGAAACTTTGGATCTTCTAACCTCGGCTTCCCTGAATGCTGATATTATGGTGGTGTGTACCATATCCCGCAGATTCTGTAAATCTTAATTTCCTAATAATCTGCACAATTCCTACCTTCTGAGTTGTTATAGGAATCATTCACGCATGTAAGTTTTCTGACATAAACTAGGTGCAATAAACGTTAGTTACTAGGTGTGGTGGGCGCGATCTTTCTCCCGGTACTCTGGAAGTAGAGACAGGAAGGCTACTGTGAGTCGGAGGCCAGCCCGAACTACATAGCAAGGACGCTTTCAAAAATAATCCTAAAGGTAAGTGCTAGTTAACATCATTGTCAGCATACTCTGTGGATAATCCACATTAGGCATTATATTGTATGGTTCTTGATTTTAAGGAGACGAGAGTTTCATCCTTACAGCAGTTGAAGAATTGTATAAGAGAAGCAAAGACAGCAAGCCTGGTTCATTCACAGGCTCATTCACTACTTCATTGGGAGCTTAAGGAAGGGATGGGGGGGGGCTGGCTTTTTGTTGTATTTATTTATTTAGCATCCAGCGGATCAAACTCACGACCTTGGTTTGCCAAGCTTCCCAGCCTTTTTTTTAATTTTGAGATGGGTCTCATTGAGCTGCCCAGGCTGCCCTCAGACTGCATCCTCCTGCCTCAGCCACCTGAACACTGGGATCCCAGGCGCACACCCCCGCAGCACCCAGGCCTGAGCTGTAGTTTGGATCTTGCCTGTCGCCAACAGTACGAGTGCTGGAGTCTCACTTGCAGCCTGCGGTTCTGTTAGAAGGTGGTGGGGTCTTTAAATAGTGGAGAGAAAGCAGATCATGGTGGCGTGCCCTCGGAGGAGACATGGGGGACCTTGGCCCCTTCCTGCCTCTGAGCTTCCTGGCTGCTGCATGCGCTGAGCGAGAGTCCTGTGTCTTGGGCTTCTGCCATGGACTACTGTGTAGCCACATGCCCACAGCAGCCACGCCAAGTGACTGGCGGGAGACCTGGAACCTGAGCCCGGAGCCAGCCTTTGCTCCTTGGAGGCCGATTGTCTCACTACTGCGCTTTGTCATGGTGACAGCTGACCGCGCAGCGTGAGCGACTGAGTTCACGGTACAGAGCTGAGCAGGAGAAGAGGCTGAACAAGTGCAGGGTGGGATCAGACAATAAGGCTCTGAGTGGCAGGATGAGGGATTCGGATTTGGATTACAAGGAGAACATTGTTTTTGGAGCAGTAAAAAATAATTTTACGTAGTTGTCATCTTAAAGCTTCTAAAAAGGAAACTGAAGAGCTTATTGTCCTTTCCTGAATGTTATTCTAGAAATATTACTGTCTGCTTCTGCCTGTCGCAAGTGGAGAAAGGGGACTGGGAATTCTAGGGCGTAATTCAAGACCATTGAAAATGGTTGGTAAATTGACACTTGAATCCCGTATTTCATCGGTTCATATTTACTTGTCATTGTATGATATCTGAAATTAAGATGTTCCTTACATTCACTGTCATCCACGTTAGCAGACATGTGGTTGTCATTGTCTGCAGATGGGTAGGTTTAGTTATGGCTGTCTGTTCCTACTGTCATAAAAACCGTTGAGGATTAATACCACAGTTCACCCGCAGTTTAAAACATCCTTTAAAAGATTACGCTGGGATTGAGCATTGAAACTCACAATCAAAACAAAAACAAACCCCTAAGGATAAGAAAAAAATCAAAACTATGAGAAAGATATGGAAGCAGAAGAGCAGAGTATAATTTTTCTTTCTTTATGACTGATGGCTCCTTAGATTCAGTTGAATACAGTTTTTACAGCATTTACTTCCTGATGATAGCTTGTTCAGAACGTAAGTCATCAGTTTGTGACTGCATAAAGGCAGGCAGAGTTAAAAATTCTTTTTATTAAGATGTAAAGATCAAGATCAAAATACAAGAATAAAATATTAGTGAACTTGCCTATTTTTCTTCTCAGATCCAGCATAGCTTAGTGGTTAGACTGCAGAATTTGGGGTCAGGTAGCTTGAGTTCAGATCCCAGGCTGACCCCTTAGTAGCAGTGACCTAGAGCAAGTTACTTAACCTGGGTGCCTCTGTGTTCTGTCAAATGGTCATAATACTTAACTCCGAGTTCTGTTATGAGAGTTAAATGAATTAATACATGCAGAGTGTTTAGAACAGCTGCTGGGAGAAGGATTGCAGTACATGTGTGACCTTTCGTGGGATTGTTTTCTGTGTATCCTAAGTGTGATAAAAGTTGCTCCAGTGCTGGGCATGGTGGTGCACAGCTGTAATGCCAACACTTGGCAGGCTGAGGCAGGAGGATTGCTGTGAGGCCAGCCTGGGCTGCAGAGTGAGTTCAAGGCTAGCCTAAACTGTCTCAAAAAAAAAAGTTTGGAAACTTTTATAATACCCTCTTTTTCTAAAAATCACGTGCTTATGTTTTCCACTTCTGCCAAGGCAAAACTGTATAGTCTGATGGTCTCCCAGTGCCCAGCTAGGGACTGGCTTTGACAGAACCCATCGCCTCAAAGACTGCTGGTCTCAGCAGGGTAGGATTCCATTTCTAGCCTCTGACTATAACTATGACTGGAGCAGAAGGGCTTGTTGATGCTTTTTTGAGGATTGCGGAGGGATGTTTCAGTTAGTTATTTCTAGGTGTATGATCCTTAAACATGTTGTTGGGCCCTCAGCTGTTGAACGTAGGATACTGTTTCTGTTACAGCTGGCAGTAAACTCTCTGAAACATATTCTAAGTTTCCCATCCAAGTACTAACCAGGCCCGACCCTGCTTAGCTTCCGAGATCAGACGAGATCGGGCGCGTTCAGGGTGGTATGGCCGTAGACAAAACATATTCTAAGTTAATGAGGAAGGCCCAGGAAGGAATCAGCACTTAATTCCGGCAAAAGCTTGAGCAGTGACAGAGGTTAAATTTCTTTTCACTGAAGTAATTTTGAATTGTTTTCAGTACTCTAGAAGATCATTATCTTAAGATGAGTGAGTTGTTCAGATTGCACTGTGTTTGTAAATAGTGTTTCGTGTTAACTTTTGACGGTGTGCAAAAACAGGTTAAAATGGTAAGGTAAAGACTTTTAAGCTAAAGAGGAATTTTTAACTGGTCTTAGTAGCTGTAAGTTAATAAGTTAGGATTTTCTGCTTCAGATTTACAAAAACATTCCATAGTTCTTTTTATTTAATCGTTCAGAAAACTAACCGGCTATACTCCTGTTTAAGTTATCAAACATAAGTTTTACACATGATGTTGGTAGTGCTTCTTGTTTGCTGATTACACGATTGGAAACTTATTGTCAGTGAAAAATGACACACACCAATGGCATGTGCAGTAAAGCTTAAAATAGCACGTCTTTGACATCCGTGCAGATTCCCTGGGCTCCTTCTATGACATGTTGCTTACAGAAAGGAAAACCTGACACACACGGAGTGCTCATTGAGGCTAAAGCAGTACATTGAAATGTTATGTCTATATTTGTAGTTTTACTGATTACATACTTAGATTTCTTTCTTAAGTGCCCAAAGTATTTCTCATGCTTTGACTTTTAAAAAAGTAATAGTCTGGGCATTTCAGAATGCACCTGGCAGTCAATACCTGGTGACGTGGAACGTGCAGTTCTGTAGAGTGAAAAACGCAAGTCTCAGGTCTGTGTAAGATGTGCCCCGACTTATGGTGTGTGTTTGTGTTTGTTTCTCAAATGCAGAGTTGCCAAATGCTGTTAAATCAACTGAGAGAGATCACGGGCATTCAAGATCCGTCCTTCCTACACGAAGCTTTAAAGGTTGGTTTCCAGTACTGTCTCAGCCAAGAGAGCCAAGAGAGTACTGTCTTACCCATAGCCTTGTGTTTGTCTGAGCTGTTTACGCTGTCATTAAAATTCACACAGGGACAAGGACTCTACACTTTCAATAGCCTGGTTTCTTCAACATGTGAATTGTGGGGAGTGGGGGGAAACTTGTGGGAAGAACTCCATAGAGATTGAAGAATCCTATCAATGAATTCCATGGTGTAGAGCTTATATAGGTCCTGATTAAAACCAACAGACTAAACCATATATGAGGGAAGGAAGTTTGAATTTGTAATTTATTTAAAAAAAACATTGTTGTAATCATTGAGGGTTTTATTTGAAAATATGTTCTGAAATACTAATGGGATGATGAGATGATTAGGATTTGCCTCAAAATGCCTGGGAGACGGCGGGCAGCATAAGTAAAACACGATCGGCCCTGACTTGCTAATTGTAGAAGCCAAGTGATAGTTACATGAAGTTCTGTTACTCGTTTTCCTGTTGTGTGTTTTGGACATTTTTCCTAATAAAGACAAATAGGATCACTCCTACAATATGGTAATTAACATGACACTTATTGTAGAGGCTGAGTTCATGTAGAGTCCGTGTTAACTGCCACCCCTTTTGGACACATTGTACCCTGGCTGTCTTGTGAAATCTGACACAATGACAGGTGTGCAGCAGGTTTCGTTTTCGTTTGTGAGGAGAAATCAGGGTGTGGCATAGTGAGGTATATCCTGGACCTTCGAGCAAATGAGACTTCCTGCCCTTCCTCACCCCTTCTGTTTCTGCGGGTGACCTAGGTTTGTTCTGTGTGTCACCAGTGTAGTAAGGGAGTAAAACCAAAGAGCTAACCTGCTACTTAAATGCTGTGATGCTTTGCTTGTGAATTTCCGGTTTTCTTTCTGTCCTTAGGCCAGTAACGGCGACATCACCCAGGCTGTCAGCCTGCTCACTGATGAAAGAGTTAAGGAGCCCGGCCAGGACACCGAGGCCACCGAGCCTTCCGAAGTAGAGGGCAGTGCCGCCAACAAAGAAGCATTAGCAAGTGGGTACCTCCTGTCTTGGTCCTTCTTGAAACTGGCAGAATAACGAGTACATACGATTGCCCTGTCAACCACATCAACAGTTGGATAGTGAACATCAGGCCATTACTGTGTGCCAGGTGCAGTCCCAGTCTCTTCAGTCTTTTCTTGTCTTCTTATTTTGAAGGGAATAAACACAGTAAGACAGAACAAAACAAAACAACGAGAACAATACTGGATTTCAAAAACAAGATAAGCGAATCCCCCATAGTTGCTGTGTTGCATATTGTTGTACTCTAAACAGGGGCCCAGACTCCCGGCCCCAGGCCTGAAAAGTCGGTCAGTCGGTACAAGCATTCAGCTGTTTCTGTACCTTGGTCTCTTTCGACCCAGCCCAGCCTGGGTTCCTCCGAATCAGCTGGTGCCTGCAAGGTGGGGCTGGGGTGGGGGCAGGCTCTTACCGTCTCCCAGCCCGGGTGTCAGCTGACTCACAGAAAGGGCAGCTGGACTCCCTGGTCACAGGTCAGGCAGGCTGGCTTCTTGGTTCTCTTTCCCGCCCACATGGCTGGCTTCAGTGTTTTCATTCATTCTTTCTTTCATTCACTTTTTTTCTATAGCACCTATTCGCGGAGCACCAACCATGTGTCAAAACAGTTTTGAATCCCAGCCTATGTGTAGCTCATGCTTTAGTTGAAAGAGATCAGTGAACAAATTCTATAGCATATTAGAACATGAAAAATAGCACAGAAAAAAATCAAGGGCTGAATGAAAGAAGTGGAGAGGGAGGTCTGGAATTTGAGACAGAGTGGACCTTTTGAGAAGGCCCCAGGCAGGGTGGGGAAGGTCACCAGAAGATCTAGAAGGGGGCGGACCTAGCTTGCTTGAGGCTGGGAGACTGAGGAAGGCTCTGAGAATGTGGTGGGAGCAGCAGGTCAACCATGCAGTGCCTTCTTAACTGTCCGCTTCTATTCCAAGTTAAGTGGGTAGCACCGGAGAGTTTGGAGCAGAGAACCGATGTCAGCTGGTAGCCGTTCCTGAAGACCACGTTGACTGAGCGCAGAATGAGGAGGGGGGTGGTGAGCTGCACAGGTCCAGCCTGGGAGCCCGAGACCAGTCAGGAGGCCCAGGTGGAGGCGTAACAAGCACTTGCGACTGACGGCATAGTGTGCTTTGGAAACAGGCAGTGGGACGTGCTTCGAGAGGGCTGCTGTTAGAGGAAGGGAGACCTTAAAGGTGACGACGCCACAGTTTTTCTAAATAGCTGCAAGGATGGAGTTGCATGTAGAGGTGGAGCAGACTTAGGATGGAGTTCGAAGAGATGGCTTTTGATAACAGTAAGGTTGAAAGGCATTAGACATTCAGGTGGAGGTGTCGGAAGGGCTTGGAGACCCTTCAGGGAGGGACTCAAGCCGGAGTGAGGAGTGGGCTTGAGGGGAAGGTTCAGTGGCTGACGCCCTGTGCTCCCAGGGTTGAGCGGACCAAGGAGGGCATGAGCACTGGGGGGAACTGGAAGGGTGGTCCTTCCTTCCTCCTGAAGTCAAGGAGGCGTGGGCAGGAAGACCCCAAGCAGGGTGTGACGGTGTTAATGGGTGTTTGCAGGATTGAGCTATCAGAATAATGCTGCTAGATGACTCTTAGTGTGTCTTAGGGTACATTGTGACGTTTCTCAGTCAGAGTTTTCTTTGTGAGGGGCCTGTGTGGGGGATAATAATTATTTTCTTACGAGTTCGTTTTTTGCTGATGTGTTGTATTTAAGGTGTTATAAACGCTGCAGTCAGGTGTTTGAGTTCGTGTTTCTCGTGCAGGTATGCAAGAGTTTCCTTAGGGTATACAGCTGGTAATAAAGATAGTGGATATGTGATATGCTCATATTGAACTGTCTAGTCACTTCTCACTGCTGACACCCACAAGCTAAAGGTGGAGAGTCACAGTCAGCCAGCTCCAAGGCAGAACGGTATGGTGGAAGGACCTGGCAGGAGCTTGGAAGCCTGGAAGCTGTAAGCATCAGGGGAGGAGCTGGGAAGGGAGCTAGAACCTTCCTGGTTACGCCCAGAGCAGCCTGCCTCCCACAAGTCAGCTGTAAGCCCTCGTCATCCAAGTCACTTTCCACACCCCGCCCCCGAGCTCCTGGGCCCTGGGGGACCCTGAGATAGAAACCAGAACACCAGCTTTGTAGGTAACCAGAATGTTCCCAAAATGATTTGTTTATACTGCCGTCAGCAGGGTTGAGAATACTAGGAGTTCCCAAACTTGATGTGCAATGATTCTTTGTTTTTAGTTAGGATTTTTAAAATCAGTGTTGAAATTAAACATCACTCACTTTTTGGCCTTTTTCTCTCCTGTGAAATTTTTGTATCTTTATCTGTCTTCCTGAGACAGGGTCTCACCATGCCGTTTAGGCTGACCTGAACTCTATGTCTTCCGCTGACTGGCTTGTTTCTGTCTTTTTTGAGACAGGGCCTTGCTGTGGTTCAGGGTGGCCTTGACCTCACTACAGCCCATTTGACCTCCAACACGTGGCAGTTCTCCCGCCTCAGCCTCCTGAGTGCTGTGATGATGATGGGTGTGTGCTGCCACACCTGGATCCTGTCTTTTCTACTTAACTGTTTGCCTCTTGTTAATTCTTGATATTATCTTACTGATATTGATCTCCTGTATTATTAATATTAATCAATTTTCCTGAATTAATTTAATTTTCAATTTTTTTTTTTTTTGGTACTGGGGATCAAACTCATGACCTTGTGTTTACCAGGGAAGCACTTAAGCCACTGAGCTAAATCCCAAGCCCCATTTTCCTGAATTTAGATGTTGTAGAAATCTTCTCCTGTTGGGGACTTGTGTTTTTACGTTATAGAGATGAACCAGAGAGCTTAATTTTACTACAGTTGTATTTATAATTCTTTTTCTATTGCTTGTGGTTGGTCTTTGTTTTGTCTTTTGGGTGGGTTTTATTTTGTTTTTTGAGGTAGGGTCTTGATGTATGTTCCAAATTGGCCTTGAACTCTCCTCCTGCCTCAGCCACTTGAATGCTGGATTTACAGGCGTGTGCCACTGTACCCAGCTGGGTTTTGTTGCAAGAATTCACTAAACCCTGAAGTCAGAAGGATATCCTATTCTATTTTAATATTCTAATGCTCTGTCTTCCACATTTAAATATTTTATCCGAAGTCAGCGATTTTGGTATGAAATAAGGTGGGATACTATTATAATTTTCCCCGTACACAGCTAAACAGTTGCCCTAGTACCCTTAGTCGGGTAGACTACGCTTTCCCTCTGATCTTCAGGATCTGCTCCTGTGTCTCAGAATATTCGTTTCCAGTTCTTTTGAGTATGTACCTAGTGGTGGAATTGCTAGGTTACACTGACTTCTTTAGTAATATTTTTGAGAGAGGACTCTAGCTTTCATATCTGAAACAATGTTAGTATAAATACATATTAACAAGATTTCTTATCAAATGTTGAGAAATTTTCCTGGTTGTTTTTTTGAACCCTATTGTTTATCAAGAATAATCATCATATTGTTTAGTAAGAATAATCATCCAAGTAAATCAATTAAATATGTTTAAAATACCCTTTAAAAGCCTCTTTATCTGGAAATTTCTCCTTTTTCTTACAATTTTTGAGATAGGATTTCACTGTGTGGCCCAGATTAGCCTCGAACTCCTCATCCTCCCGCTCCAGCCTCCTGAGTGCTAGGGTTGCAGGCATTCAGCATCATACCCGGTGGTTACTCTATTGCAGCTTAATGTCCAAAGAAATCAAGACCTTCATTCTGTCCAATTTCATATACTCTGAAATTTGCTGCTGATTGTATTTTGAGACAGGATCTTGGTGAATTCCATGGGCTGGCTTTGAATTTGCTGTCTTCCTGCCTCAGCCTCCCAAAGTGCTGGGAATGATTGTTGCCTGGTATGGTGGTTCATGCCTATAATCCCAGCACTCAGAGACTGAGGTAAAAAGGTTGCTGTGTTTGAGGCCAGCTGAGCTACAAAGTAAGTTCAAGGCTTACCTGAACTGTTTAGTGGAACCCTGTTTCAAAAAGACAAAAAAACCAACCAAACAAACAAAATCCCAAAACTGCACCCTCATGCCTAGCTGCAAGAATTCTTTATATAATTCTATATATTCTGTATAGGTCCTTCATCAGATATGTTTTGCAAAAACTCCCTTTCTGTGGTTATTTTTACTTTTCCTGGTGATGTCTTTTGAAGGACAAAAGTTTTATTTTAACGTAAAATGTACCTGTTTTATCTCTTTCATTTACTTGTGTGTTGTGTGTCCCATCTAAGATAGGTGGCCCAATTTATGGTCCTGAAGACTGTCACTTGTCATCTTTTCCAGTGTTAGCTCTTGAGAAGGCTTGATCCTGCTTTGAGTTCATTCTCGTGGGTGGTCTTAGAGAGTCGCTTAGCTTTATTCATTTGCATGGCTGTATCCAGTGTCCGAGTACCATTTATTGAAAAGATGCCCTGAGTTGTCTTGGTACTCGGATTGAAAATCACTCTGACAATCATGAGGCTTTATTTCTGGACTCTGAGTTCTGTCCCACTGACCTGTGTGCGTGGCTGTGCCAGTAGACCGCAGTCCAGAGCCTTCAGTTACCGAAGTTTTGTAGAACCTGAGTGGGTTTTGTAATTTTTTTCCTTGTGGGAATTAAACCCCGGCCCTTGCACAGAGCTGCGTTTCAGGGCCTTGAAACAGTGTGTCACGGAGCTGCCCAGGCTGGTCTCAGACTTTCAGTCCTGCCGCAGCCTCCCACAAATTTTGTGCACTGATCTTTTTATTTAATGGCTCCTCATTTTGTTTTCTAGGGATTATTTTGGGTTTCCCTTGCAAATGATTGTTACCTGTGCATGTTGCTCTGCCTCTTACTTTCCAATCCTCATGTTTCCATTGCATTACTTAGAACTTGCAGAGCTACGGTGACTAAAACAGTGATAGACTGGCTTGTCTTTGCCTTGATTTTAAAGGAAATGTGCTTAACATTTCTCCAGTGAGTAGAAAGTACTCTGCGGACTTCTTTTGGATATTGTTTCTCAGCTAAAAATACACTTTTCTCTTCCTGAGTGGCTTAGAAATTTTATCCTGAAAGGAGGTTGAATGTTATCCAGTATTTTTTTCTGTTTCTATGGAGGTCATTTTTTCCTTTGGTTATTAAGAAAACATAGTTTTCTATTATTAACTCAGTATTTTATTCCTATAGTGAACTTAAGTTGATCTTACTATGTAACTTTTTGTATCGTACTGGATTCTCTTTACTGATATTTTAGAGCTTTTTGGGTGTGCCTGTGGTCATGTGGAGGTTTTCATTCTTTCTTATTCATATTGTTGTTTTATTTTGCCTTGTTTTTTCTGAGACAGAGTCTCATGTAGCCCAGGCTGGCCTTGAACCTGTGGTGCTCCTGCTGCCTCACCCTGAGTGCTGGGACATCATCGTGTGCTGCTATGGCCTGATTCTTGTTAGGTTTTCTGGTGCAATAGAGAGGCAGAAGGAGAGAAAGGTTGGGCTTCTCGGAGTAGAGATAAGGGAGCTGATACGTGGTCTGGCCAGAGCAGAGTTCGTGGGCAGGGGTTGATGACTGAGGAACTGACTGCAGTTTTCTTCAGGCTGGAAAAGGAAGGAGGAAGTTGTGTTTGGGGCCGAGGGGAGGAGGCGGGGGAAGGGGTACTCAGGGGAGTAAGCTGCTGGTTTTGTTTTTGGCCTTCTGCCCTGTTAGACCACCACCATACTATTCCATCGTTATGTTAGAGCCAGGAGCCTTTCCATTCTTACCCTGTTTCTGATGAGTAGGTGTGTGCATGCTAGTTAGGATGCGGACTTCTTAAACATGAGGTGAATGTTCTCCAGGAGAGTCTGTGCGAGATTGATGGTCTCCAAATGTGCTGTACTTGGCCACTGCCTTGCAGTGACGGAGACTGTTTGACCTCCAGGTATGGAATACATTTTTGCCTTTGCGGGATGAGACTGTGGAAGAGTTCATTCCGCTTCGGTAGCTTCTGTGTGTGCTCTTGGGTGATACACTGTCACGGTATGGCTGGCTAGCTGAAGGTCTGGGACAGAGAAAATCGTGCTGTGACAGATGAGCCATCATAGTGACAGCCAGTGATGGTTCCAGGAATGTTTTGATCCTGTTTTTCTTTTTTTCTTGTTTCTGTCCTGCAGACCAGATGGACAATTTCCAGGGTGTAGACTAATTAAATTGTTACTTATCTTACAGAAGTGATAGATCTTACCCATGATAACAAAGATGACCTTCAGGCTGCCATTGCTTTGAGTCTATTGGAGTCCCCCAAAATTCAAGCTGATGGAAGAGATCTTAACAGGTTATTGCTTTAATTTATAATCTTCACCATTGCATGTATGCGTAGGTCAAAAGCAGCAGCTCTGTGACTGCCACACAAGAATAATTCCGCTGGCCACCTTTGATGGCCCCTGACTGAGGTTTCTGTTAGGCGAGGCAGGGCACATTAGCTTACTTGGCTTTTTGGCTTCTTTTTGGAAAAGCCAAACAGAAGGGTGTCTGTGACTAGAAACCTGTAGTTCATAGTTCACAGTCGCCAGCAGAAAATAGGAAACCAGTTCCATGGTCTGGTAAACGTTAATCATTCCCTTTACCACCTTTAAGGTGTGCTGTTGGGTATTCTTAAATGGAAGTTATCACTCAACCACCCTGTCTCAGGAGTGACCAGAGGATATATTATTTGATTGTTGCTGATTTTGTGATTATCTGATGCCACTCAGAAACATCCATTTTCATTGGCGGTCTGTCAGTTTCTGTCCTGTTTACTGTCTCTCACAGAGGGGACGCGGGGTCGGGTGGAGGCCGCTGGATATTTGGAGGCTCTCTGCTCTGGCACGGTGGCTCTCTTGCCTTTTCCCTAGCGTGTGTTTGGATAGGGCATCTTGATTGACCTAGAAACATTTGGATACAGTATTATAGCCATACTAGTCTTAAATCTCAAGTCGGGTCCACTGTGGATCATTTAACCTCTGTTACGGAGGGTTAATGTTTCTGTTTAAACCTTGCTTTTTATTACATGATGATTTTATAGCTGTATAGCGAGTGATTACCTAGTAAAGCGTTTTTGGGCATTTTGAATTTTCTGTGAAAGATTATCAGTATCCTCCATATACTCTATTGTCCTCTAATTTTTTTTTAAATTTTTTTTATTGGTGGTGTATTGGAACAAATACTGTACAGGATGCACGAGGCAACCTCTGCAGAAACCAAACGCTCAAAGAGAAAGCGCTGTGAAGTCTGGGGCGAAAACCCCAACCCAAATGACTGGAGGAGAGTGGACGGCTGGCCAGTCGGCCTGAAGAATGTTGGCAACACGTGTTGGTTCAGTGCTGTTATTCAGGTAGGACATTTTACAGACAGTGGTATCTTCCGGAAACAAGAGCTTTATTTTTTAAACGGAAACAGGGAAACATAACTTCAAAACAGTTAAAATTTGCCCCTTTGGCCCCTAACTTTGATGTCGTGCCGTGTATGTGAAATGGCCCCTCAAGCCTTGTCACTATGTGGTGGGTTCCTGTCTATTGTGGAGAAAGTTAAAACTCCAGGCACGGTGGTGCACATCTGTAGCCCTAGCTAATCGTAAGGCTAAGGCAGGAAGATTGTAAGGTCAAGGCCAGGATGGGTAATTTAGAGAAACTATGTCTCAAAATAAAAATAAAATGGATTTATAGCTTGGTGGTCGAGCACTCCTGGGTTCATACCCAGTACTGGGGTGGGGGAGTTAGAACAGGTAAAACTGGGTAGTGTTTCCTGTAGCCTTACTGTATTTTGGCTGCCGTTGTATGTGTTTTAGATTTAGTTTTAATTTTTTAAAAAATTTTGAAGGTAGTAAAATACAACAGAACAAGACAGGACAAAGCCAATCGAGACAATGCAGTGAAACTGATACAGAACTTCGTAGCAGGTTACCGGGATAACAGTAATAGGTACCGTAGTGTATCTCCTTATCTTCACAATAGTTGTCCTTTCAATCAGGCAGAGCAAAATCAAACCAAATACAGAACATTATAGAACTTATCAGAACAGAGTACTGCGGGGCTGGGGATTTAGCTCAGCGGCATAAGCGCCTGCCTTGCAAGCAGGCAGTCGTGAGTTCGATCCCTGGTACCGATAAAAACGAAAAAGACCAAAAATAGAAACAAAACAGAGTACTGAATAGAGCAATATAATTAATCAGAACAAAGCATAACAGTGATAACAATATTTGCCTTCAAAGAGATGATAGAAGGAAATCCCCCCATTTGCTATATTGCATATGGTCAACTTCCCAAGAGATGCTCAGACCTCTGGCTCCCATTTGCTAATGGAGGGGCGTGGAGAGGGATGTTTGATTCTCAGCCTGTGTGCCAGTAGGCTCACGGCTGCTTACCAAGGAGGCGAGCGGGTTCCTTTGTTGCCCAGCATCCTCATGTTTTAGATTTAGATGTTCTGATGTCTAAATTGGCACTAACGGTGACATCTGCTGTTACAGTAAATGAGTGTTTAGGGTCAGCTTTTAGAGACTACTACGTTAAGGCAGAGCTAGCGTGAGAAGAGCGCAGTTATGGAGAAGCTGCCATAGGTGTGGAGCCAGGAGGGAAAAGCAGCCTGCGGGAAAGATGGAGGCACAATTGTGGACGGAAAGAAAGAACGTTCTTGAGAGCACGGCCGATGGCACACACCTGTGGCCCTAGCCGCGGAGGGGAAGGTGGGGGGATCCCAAGTGGGAGCTCAGCACGGTCAGGTTACTGACTTAGTGAGACTCGGTCTCAAAATAAACGGATGGGATGTAGCTCAGTGTAAATACCCGGGTGCAGTCCCCGGTGCTGCAGGACCAGACCAAACAACAACAGAGCACTACTGAGAAGACCGGATCTATAGGGTTTATTGAACAGTCTGTGCAAGAGAGAGCTGGGAAAGATGCCACTGTTTCTGGCCCAAGTAACCAGATAGAGTATGGCGCCATTTGATTTAAGATGTTTGGATCAGGCTTAGCTAGTGAAATGTCTGTAAATATACAGAAATCTCAAAAATCTGAGACACCTGTCGTTCATATATTTCAAATAATCGATGCTCAGCTTATTGAAGGTTTTCTAGAAACTGGAGTCTGCTTAAGGTTGTTACCTTTGAATGTACAGTGGTTGTCTCCCTCATGTCCTTTGTTTTTTTGAGACGAGGTCTTGCTATGCAGTTCAGGCTGGTCTTCGAACTTGCTTATGTCGGCCAGGCTAGCCTCGAGCTCCCAGCAGTCTGAGTGCTGGAGTTACAAGTGTGTGCTGCCACACCCAGCCCCATGTCCTGTTTTTGTGAGGATTTTGTTTCAACAGAACTCTGAAACTCTTAAATGGAAGATTTAATTCATCTAGGTTGGAGGATTTAGTGGGTACAGGATGGAAAGACTGAGCATTTAATGAGAGTAGCTGATGGCCTTAGATTGAAAGCTAGCTTCAGGGAGAAGAAAAAAAAAAAGACAGGAAGAAACTGATGATCAAGGAACACTGAAAAGCTAGGCCTGGTGGCCCATACTGGTAATGCCAGCACTCAGGAGGCCGAGGCATAAGGGACACCGTGAGTTTGAGGCCAGCCTGCGTACTGTGTAAGCAACTTCAAGGCCAGTCTGTTACACAGTGAGACCGGTCTCAAAAAAAAAAAAGTAGCAGGGAAAAAGATTAGCTTACATAGGTCCCTGCTGAAGGCGTGCAGGCAGTTATCTTGCGGCTAATTAAACTAGTATCTCAGAAAGTGCACTGTGGTCCAAGAGTGAGGTTTTCTGAGTGTGTGATCTGAGAATCCCGGGTCTTGGGCGTTGATGTGTCCTGCATGGGGAGGACAGCGGGAGTGCAGGACTGTTCAGTGTCGAGACTAGAGGTGTCTGGGCTGGAGCGTGCGCGTGTGTTCCTGCCTCAGTGGTTAGACACCTACTTCATCTCTAGCACTATTCTAGGCTTTGAGATACAGGAGAGAACACAGCACAGACAGCTACGACCTTGAGGAATTTGAATTCTCATGAAGAGTGATGAACAATAAATTAAAAACTAATGGGTTAAATTTCTAAGTAAATATATGTAATATTTATTTTTAAAAAAGAGCAAAGTGAAAGAGATTGTTGTTGCTTCAGGAGAGGTAAGCGCCAGTGGTAATTTATTGATGGTGTTAGTAGGGCTCATTGAGGAGATAATCCCGGAGCTTGTGCCCAGTGCGAAGGAGCTGAGGGACAGAGCTGTGTGTGACTAGAGTGAAAACATTACAGAGAAGGGAACCACAGGGCCGTGACCCTAGGGTGGGAGGGGCTCGTGTGTTCAGGGATCGCCAGGGATCCCATGTGGACCCAGGGATGCTAAGCACAGAGAGCCTCTCTGGAGCTGAGGTTGGGGTAGAATGGAAGTTCCGGAGCAGGGGTGCCCACACGTGGAAAGGCTCCTTCCTTCCGCTGCTGTGGGGAGCGCAGAGCGAGGGGCGGGGCCTGGTGCATTTGTCCTGGGAGTGGGGGTGGCTTGGACCCAGTAGGAGCTGTGGAGGTGATCAGATTGTTGACACACTGTAAAGGCAGCACTTCAGAGATTCCGGGGATCCGCTGTTGACTGAAGTCACTTAGAGGGATGACATGACCTAAGAGTATTAGGAGCTTTTATGAGATGCAAGGCTTTGGTGACTTGAGAGCTTAATTTCGGTCATACAAGGAGGTTGAAAGAACCATGTGGCGGTAGATGGTGAGGGATGTTCCAGGGCAGGGAGACCTGCACAGTGACCCAGGTGGGCAGCGATGGGTCTGCTTAGAGCAGCTGGGGTGGGCAGCCACAGGCAGGAGGTGTGAGCACTGGACATGAATGTTTAAGAAGGGGAAAGTCTATTACTCTGGCACCTTGAACTTTGGTGACCAGAGGAGCGGGATGTAAGTGACACAGCACACAGGAGAAAACACTGGCACCTAGGAGGAAAGAGTTTAGCACAGTACGAGGTAGAGTGACATTGCCTAGACTGACACTCCGGAGACCTGAGTGGGAGAGGAGGGATGCTGGTGTCACCAAGAGCATGGCAGAAGCACAGGGCAGGCAGAAGGATGGGGCAGTGCGGCTCGGTGTCCAGGCCTGTCATATGTGTGACAGAGAAGGGTCTGTTGGATGCTGATGTCAGGAAGCAGGCCTGGGGTTTTGGAATACAGGAAAGTATGTTTTTTCAGTTCTGATTGCAAAGTTTCACGTATTTTCTACAAGGATGCTGCTTCTAGAATTCCAATATGGAAGTCAGAAGGGTTTTCATTTGAGGGATATTTAGGGATGGGTTACATTCATGCAGGGAGGTTTTAAAATCCACTTAGAAAAGATACAGTAGAAAAAATAGGATTTACAAATAATGAAAAGAATCCCTCTCCACTAGGGTTTCAGCTAGAGGGACATCTGCGGGAGATGCCTGGTGTTCCCCGCCCCTCCAGCGCGCCCCTGAACTAGGGATCAGACCCAGAGCCCTGCACTCCCAGCCCTTCTATAAAGATGGGGGCTCCTGCTAGGTTGCCCAGGCCTCGAACTTGGGATATTCTGCTTCAGCCTTGCAGTAGCTGGAATTACAAGCTTGTGCTACTTTGTACTAAACTTAAAAAAAAAAAGCGTTGCTGGTGGAACAGAGGGTAGTGAGCTGCTGTTCTCACGCCCGTGTAAGTGTGATTTTCTTAGAAATAAAGAATCTGCTAGTTGACACTTATACGTGCTTTTTAGTATGAATGAAAATACTCCTTAAAAAAACTTTTTTCTCAGTTACCTTGAAAAAAAGGATAAATGCGCTTCTTTCTTTCAGTCTCTCTTTCAGCTGCCTGAATTTCGAAGACTTGTGCTCAGCTACAGTCTGCCACAAAATACACTTGAGAACTGTCGCAGTCACACGGTAAGTTGGTGCCGAGAACTCTGGACTTTACACTTGCCGAGCAGGCACTGCACCCCTGAGCTGTGTTATTGGCCCCCCCCCCCCAAAAGCCTCTTTATTTTTATTTTTATTTTCTAAACAAGGAATTGAAGGCCTTTTTCCTAGGCTACACTGCAAACCCTTTCCTATTTTTTTAATTTGAGGCAAGTTCTCTCTGAGTCACTCACTGTTACTGAGGCTGGGCTCAAACTTGTGACCCTTTTGCCTTGGAGGGATGACAGGCCTGCACCACCAGGTGGTCTCACTACACAGTTCAGGCTGCCCTTGAGCTCACCGTGTAGTCCAGCTGGCCTGAAAATCATGACGGTCTTCCCGCCTCAGCCTCCCAAGTGCTGGGGTCGCAGGCTTGCACCAGCCTGCCCAGCGTTACATTTTTGACTAAAGGTGGAAACTACAACACTTTGGCTTGTACTAATACTTGTTTTTGTGTCTCCTTTTGTTTTTGCAGTGTTTAACCCAGGGCTTTGTGCTGCATGTTAGGCAAGTGCTCCACCACTGAGCTGTGTCTCCAGCTCTTCTGTTTTCATTTCTAAACGGCTCTTTTTCCTTCTTTGTGATGAAATTAAAGATTTGCAAAAAAAAAAAAAAAAAAAAAAACCCTGTAAATTTTAAGTTTATATCAAACAGTTTCAAGAGTGGTGAGCCTGCCTGCCTGCCTGAGCGGGGCTGCCCTGGGGGGGTGCTGTGTGCGGGGTTTCCTTCCCTCTGCTGTTGGCTGCTCGGTGAGGATGAAGAGCAGTGAGCCGGCACACCCAGATTTCTCAGGATGTTCCCGTCTGCACCACGCAGCTCCCACTCAGTGGTTTTGCCCGGCCCAGGATTTTACACTAGCTTAATGCGCCTCCTGCGGGAGAGGGGCTCGGCCTCAGGAAATGGACCTCTCCGTCTTCCAGCAGTAATTCTCTTTGACTTGTACGTGGTTATTCTCGAGTTCAGAGTAATCCCGTCATCAGAGTCCTCATAGTGTGCTCTGAGGCCTGACTGACCGAGACTTAAATAAATATGATGTAGAGAATAATCGTTAGCAGCTTGTCTCACTATTTATCGATCTTCCAAATTAGACGTCATATGAGTCAGTGCACGTGGCTGTGTTTTCTGTAGGAAAAGAGAAATATTGCGTTTATGCAAGAGCTTCAGTATTTGTTTGCTCTTATGATGGGATCAAATCGAAAATTTGTAGACCCTTCTGCAGCCCTGGACCTGTTAAAAGGAGCATTCCGATCATCCGAGGAACAGCAGGTAGTGAAGCATCTTCTTCTCTTGTTTCCCCTCAAACTCTCACGTTTGGAGTCGTGCCTTCCTAACGTTTCTGTGATATTAATGTTACTGTGATATCGCTTATTTCAGCTGACAAGCTGTACACTTGACTAGCAGGGCTGGAGCTGCCTGTGTGTGCACCTTACGTTGCATACAAAACAGGTGGTAAGAGAGCAGGAAAAGAGTGTTGTGGAGGGGCCTGACGGTTCCAAAGGGAAGAAGAAATAGTGGTGGAAGGAACAGCAGACTCGTAGAGGCTGCTCCAGCGAAAGGAAGACCTTAGAAAGCAGCGCAGCGAAGGGTCGCCCAGAACAGTCAAGTCCTTTGTGGGTTTGTTGTTTAGGGACAACCCAGGCAGAGCTGTTACTTTTAAAGCCACCTAGGGCAGTGCTGGCGAACCTGTTAGAGCTTTCAGCGACACAAACAGCCCGGCGCGGCTTGGGTTCGCCACCACTGCGCCAGGTGCGTCCTAGTGGCGGAAGTGACCTGCCTAGCGTGAGCAAGGCGTTTGATGTCTGGTGCCAAGTTAAAAGAAAGTCCCGTTCCTGTGAGACCAACCCGAGTCCAGCAGCTGCTCTGAGCACTGTTTCTCTGTTGGACATTAATACTTCCCCTGTTCCTCACTTCTACCTAAAAAGTAAAGCTGTCGCATTGGATCCGCTTCCTCAAGAATTTTCTTTCTCTACTCAAGTCTCACATTGCCCTAGAAGACTGTAGTTCATTCTTTGGGCTTTTAAAAAAGACTTAGGTGGGGGGCTGGGGATTTAGCTCAGTGGCATAAGGGCCTGCCTTGCACGCGCATGGTCATGAGTTCATGAGTTTCCCCAGTACTGATAAAAAAAGACTTAGTTGGAAGCTTTTGTTTGGTTTTTCTGTAGCACAGACAGTTGTGACTGGCAGTGGTAGAGTTTCCGATTCCCTCTAGGCAGTTTTGAAGTCAGTAACACACTTGGTGTTTTGTGCCTGAAACGTACATCCCTTCATTCTTCTGTCTGTGGATTTGGCCCTAAGAAAGAAATGTTTTCGTAGTAGTAGAATTGAGCTGTTGGGGGACTGAGGGCGAGCTGTCCTTTCCCCCTGCACGGTGTCCCTCTAACTCCAATGCTGTTTGTGCCTCTCTTGTAGCAAGATGTGAGTGAATTCACACACAAGCTCCTGGACTGGCTGGAGGACGCTTTCCAGCTAGCTGTTAACGTGAAGTGAGTCCTGAGGGTTGGTTTCCCATCTTTCTGACGGTGCCTCTGGGAATTACGATACTTTTCTCAGGGGGAAATTGCTGATTCTAATCTGACTTCGTGGGGTACCCGTGAGCTGGTCCTTACTGTGCCTGGGTTTTTGTTTCTGTGGATGATGATCATCCCGTGAACCTATAGCTATTTTACAGAAAAGACTCTCTTTTTTAATTTAAGGAGAAAAGGGGGGGAAAAAAACCAGAAAAAGGGTACAAGTTATAGAGAATTTCAGAAAAAATAAACAGTAGGAAATCACTAGTTAATAGATTGCATATTGTTATCTTAGAAATAGTTGTTCAAGTTACAAAATTAAAGCATATAAAGTGGACTTTCAAACACTGAGACTGGAAACAATTTTGTTCAATGATCCAACAAACCTCAGTAATATGGTTATCTATCTTATACACTTATATATGCAATTATATTTAGAGCACTTTCTTTTCCTTTCTTTTGTACAATGACAATTACACATTTTGGGTTTTATTACTCCCACAGTTCTTATTACTTTTTTTGAAGAGAGTAAAACCAAATGTGACATAACAGAACAGAGTCAGTCAAATCAAAAGGATGGACATAATAGATAATGTAAAAACAGAATTCTAGGGGCTGGGGATTTAGCTCAGCGGCATAAGCACCTGCCTTGCAAGCAGGCTGTCATGAGTTCGATCCCTGGTACCGATAAAAATGAAAAAGACAAAAACAAAAAAACAAAAAAAAAACTAGGTGATCAATACACTGCCTCTTGCTATCTTAAAAAGAATTGCCTATATCATCAGTTATAATAAAATTGAACAAAACAGTAAAGAATAAAACCAAAACATTGGAGACATTACAGGACTTTAAAAGAAGATAATAATCAACCAGAATGGGCGTCATAATGAATCTTACTGTCTTCACAGTTTTGCCTATACTTTCCAACTTGGTACTATCAAGCAAAGCAGAATAGAGGAAAATCAAAAGACTCTAACTCTTAACTTCATATTTGTTCCATAAGTGCAGCTAATCTGTCACTTACTTCAGTCTATATCTGGCTTTCTCTGATTAATGAAAATGAATTATTTTCATTTTTGAATGATGCTCAGGCTTTGGGTAATACATATTTGATCCAAATGATACAGAAGTGTCTCCCTTTTTTAAAAGCAGCAATCCCAGGAACAAATCTGAAAATCCCATGGTGCAGCTATTCTACGGTACTTTCTTAACTGAAGGGATTCGTGAAGGTAAATTCTCTGGTCTTAATTCTTAGCCTATAACTGTACCTCTAGTACTAGTAGTGTCTTGAGCGGGGAGCAGTATAATTAATTTGAAATAATTTTATTAAGGTAAGGTACCAGAAATGTTTGTCCACTCTAAGCTACATGATAGACACTTGTTTAAAAACTGGAAAATTTTTAATTTGCACGAGTAATTATCAAAACCCTCATGAAGCCCAGCATCGTGGCACACACCTGAGTCTGCGGTGCTTGGAAGGCTGAGGCAGGAGGTTCAACAACATGGGCAGCAGGAAAGTTGAGGCCGCCAACAGGGGCAACTTAGAGCTGTGTCAGAATAAGTACTTTAAAGGATTTCGAGGTAGCTCAGCGGTAGAGCGCAAAGTCCTAGATTCAATCCCCACTTCCAGGGTGGGGTTGGAGATAAGCCAATCAATCATCAGCTCCAGCTAGACAAAATGTTCTTACCCTGATACTCTTGTTTATTTATTTTAAAATGTGTTGTTTGTGTTTGGCATTGGGATTTGAACCCAGATCCTTACGCTTACTAAGCGTGTGTTATATCCCTGAGCTACACTCGTAGGCCCTCAGCTTTAAAAACAGTACAGCACTGCTGCTCCTTAAAAAAAATGGCATTTGAAAGTGTCAGCAGTCTGCCAGGACTCTCATACCCTGATTTGTTTAATGAAAGAAAAAGCGTTTGTTTTAATCAAAATTCAGATGTGGTTCATATACATCTTTTAAGCCTCTTCAGTGGCTGTAAACGCTGCCTTTTTCTCCTTGAAATATATTTTTTGGAGCACCTATTTTACTTGTAATGTTTCCCAGAGTCTGAACTTCTGCTGCTCGCATTCCTGCAGAACGTTTTTAACGTATTTAGCACAGCCTCCTCCGCTCTTTGTAAATCGGGAGTTGTATCTGGACGTTACACTCAGTCAGTCAGGCGAGACCAGTGCACTGATGGCGGGAAAGCCTCTGAGCAGCAGGCTGCAAGGTCTGGCATCTTCTTTCTGCAGCGTATGCACTTGTGACTGGTGCGTGCCTGGGTCCACTGACCCTTCGGAGGGTGCCATCCTGACTTACTTTCTATCCAGGTCTCAGGAGATACCTGAATTTAAGATGTTGTCTCTGGGGAGCCAGAAGGTAGGCTTTCGATAGTTGTAGCGATGTCTTTAAAAATGGACCTCTTTCTTTGCCCAGGAAAGCCCTTTTGTAACAACGAGACCTTTGGCCAGTACCCCCTCCAGGTAAACGGTTATCACAACTTAGACGAGTGTCTGGAAGGGGCCATGGTGGAGGGTGACATTGAGCTTCTTTCTCCTGACCATGCAGTGAAGTATGGACAAGAGGTAAGGTGGCTGTTTTTCCTTGCTGTGCAGTGACAAAGCCAGTTAGGACTGAACTTTCAGGCCAGCTAATTTCCCGTTACGTTAGGGAACTGATTGCGGAGCAGAAACGGAATTTGCCGTAAGTGTCTCATCAGGTCACGGGAACCATGGAGTCAGTGCTTTGATAAATTCTTTACTGAAACTGTGACTTTGAGTAATCGTGTAAAGGTTGTGTGCTGCTTCTGATGTTTTAAGTATGATCAAGTTTCTCTCTTTCTGTTGAAGCCTACCCGTACCTGAGTAGGGAGAGCCCACTGCCTCCATATTCGGAGGGTAAAAGTACAGTGATTAACTCCTATGGTATGCCATTTAGAATATTTTCCCTGTTACTATGCATTGTTCTCAATTGTAAATGCTGCCTTTGCTTGTACAGTTTTTGCTACTTCATTCGTATTTATTTATGGGGTTGTTACTGTTTCAGTGGGTTGACAGGGAGGGAGTTAAAGGGAGAGAGAGTCACTGATGTCTGGAGTTGCAGCTGCCTAAGAAATAGTGACAGTGCTGGTGGCACACTTGGCAGTACTACAGTTGGGCTGGTTTGTTTTCCTTTCCTTTTACGTTTTGAAGCAAATTGGGGTCTCTATGTGAGTCCACAGGGATTACTACAGGGCAAGAAAGAACTTTCTTACATTAAAATAGAGCCTACAGTGAGCCTCATGGAAGTACACTAGCTGTAGAAAGCACTTCCTCCCCAGCTTTTCAAGGAGAGAACTGCTCCTGGTGGGGGGAAAGGGTCTGTGCGAACCTGACGTGTCCTCTCAGGAAGCAGAAGGAATGGCCACTCGCTCCTCCCCACCAGGATTCAGGGATGGGAGCTCCGTAAAAATAAAACACAAGCGAGGCGTAATGCATGTTTACTTACGCAGCCCCGAGTGCCTGGACCACCCGTCCCAGCAGGGCGTCCCTCAGGACAGCTGTGTGTGCCTCTGGGAAGAGGCCCATAGGAACCTCTGGCCTCCAGGGCAGCTGAACAGAGGCCTGTACTGCTGCAGCCTCTCCTCCTTACCCAGGGTAGTGACTTTTGGAATCTTCTCTGTAAGGAAGCGTTTTCCTTCCATGAAACTGGCGTGGTGGCACTGGTGTTTTCACGATGCATCTGTTTATTGAACCTCAAGAAATTTATTTTTTCTCAGCAACTTGAGGAGAGATAAAATCATGAAGCTATTTCAGGTTTCCTTTTGAGACATAAAGGAGGTTCCAGGTTAAGGGAGTGTAATAAAGAGTGGATTTTATATGCATGTTAGTTTTATATGCATGTTAGTTTTTTTAGGTGACTCCTGGAGACAGTCTCTCCATAGTAACCTGCTGGTTAGACCATCATTTCCAGTTCTTTAGTTAGGCTCTTTTCTACAGGGTGTGAACCTCTTTTAAACACGGGTGACTCTTAACAAATGCACGGCGTAGATCCTTGGTCAGTTCGCATACTCAGAGGTGGTTAGTGCTAAGAATGATGAGCGAATAAAATGCCATTTTGGAATCTCGGAGAACATTTAATCATATTTGCTAAAAGAGCATGATTTCAAGTGCAAATATTTTATTTTTTATCTGGGATGAAAATGCTTTAATATTTATTTAAATATAAATTTGATACAGAAACAGTAACTTCTTGATGAGGGATGTTAAAATGTGGCTGTTGGTATTTCCTAAAGTTAATTTCTTTTCTCCCACGCTTCTGCCGTGGACAAAGCGTTGGTTTACCAAGCTACCTCCAGTGCTGACCTTTGAGCTCTCAAGATTCGAGTTCAATCAGTCCCTTGGGCAGCCAGAAAAAATTCATAATAAGCTGGAATTTCCTCAGATTATTTATATGGACAGGTGAGTTCTAGGTTGGTTGTTTTCGTGACGTGATGTAACAGTGGAAATGTTGCGTATAGAAAGCACGCTGTGTGGGAATCACTCAGATCTTAATAATACAGAAATTTGGCTTCTTTCCGTCTAGTTGGGGCCCAAGAGTTTGTTGAGCTGGGCGTGGTTGTGTACACCTGTTATCCCACCACTCAGGAGGGTGAGGCAGGAGCATCTCCGTGAGCTCGAGGCCAGCCTGGGCTTCTTAGTGAGTTCAAGGCCAGTCTGAACTAAAAAAAGAAATACAAACTCTTTTTAAAAATGTATTTATTTTAATACATGAAAACAGAAAACTTTAAAAAATTGTGTAATTTTTGTTTTCCTAAGACAGGGGTTTGCTGTGTAGTTAGGCTGGCTTGAACTCATGTTGGTCCGGGCTGGCCTCAAAGTTGTAATGTTCCCGCTGCACTCAACCTCCCGAATGCTGAGATCACAGCTGTGCACCGCACACCAAGCCTAAGGGTTTGCCTTTCCATGCAGCTTCTAAGGGAGTGGTGGCAAACCTTTTAGAGACCGAGTGCCCTTTTAGAGACCGAGAGACTACAACCCCAGATTGACTTATTTCTTGAGAAGTGCCAACAATGTAATGAAATTTGAATGCTCACTGCTGGGGCAATGCTGGGGTGACTTGGCTTGTGTGGTACCAGCTATGGCACACATGCCTTAAGTCCGTCCGCATCCGCTGTACCTAGCATGATGCTAAGATGCTTCTGATGCTGGACTCCAATCCGAACAGCCAGGGTTTAGGTGAAAGCCGTGCTTGTTTCGGGGTGAAGAATAGTGTGTGGACGGGCTGCAGTTCTATTCTGAGAACTGTTGTATTCTTAGATTGGGGCAGTCCTAGAGAGACTTACTTTACTGAGGTATAGTTTACATCTAAAAAAAGGCCACCATTTGTAGGTGGATAAACAGTGAATTTTGTCAAATGTAGAAAGTGCGGTAACTGCCATCACAGCTACAGTAGAGAACATTTCCATTGGCCAAGAGATCCCCTGAGCCCCGTCGTGGGCGGAGTCCCTTACTCCTGACCGTGGGCTCTGGCATCCACCGGACGACAGTCTGGCCCCACCATACCCTGTCGTTCTAGAATGTTGTATCACTGACATTAAGATGTACCCTCTTAGGGCTGTTTTCTTTCCTTAGGATATTATTTTTGGTATTCACTTAAGTTGTTGCATATATCAGTAAGTTATTCCACTGTATTGTTGAGTAGTACTTTTTATTTTCTTTTGTTTTTTGATGTCAGGGCTTTAACCTAGGCCCTTGTGTGTGTTAAGAATTCCTTCTCCCCCTGTCACTGTTGAATAGTATTTTATTGTAGGTACCACAGTTTTTCTCCTCTAGTTGGTAGATAGTTCAATATATCCAATTTGGGGCTATTATCAATGAAGCTGCCTTGAACATTCACGTACAGTTCTTGTATAAAATTCAGAGGAGTAAGATTGCAAGGTTGTATGAAAAGGTTTATTTCTCTTGACTAGACATTTTTGTATTGTTTTCAAACGTGGCTACGGTTTGCATTGCCATCAGTGGAATGTGAGAGCTCTGCTGGCTCCAGACTCCTGGCAGGACTTAGAATTACGAGTCTGTAATTCCAGCCATTCTAGTGGGCGTGGAGAAATAACTGTTTTTCTTTGGGTTTGTATTTTCCTGAAAGGACGGGTGTTGAGCGTTTTTTTGTATGCTGATTGACAGTTGTTTGTTTATTTTGTTCGGTGAAGTGTCAGCTCACACATGCCCCCTTTTTAACTGCCTGTCTTAACCCTGGGTTTTACGAGTTCTAGCTTTTATATTAGTTCTGTGACCCATTTAGATTTCATACACAGAATGAGACAAAGGGTTTGAGAGGGGAGGGTGGCTGGTCCAGTTGTAGTAAAGGCCCCATGGTTGAAAAAACTGCCCTTTTTCCCTTTGACTTCCGTTAACACTTTTGTCAAAATTAATTGAAAATATATTAGCGGGCCTGTTTCTGAATCTCTGTTCTGTCTCTGGTCTACTATTAGTGCCACAGTACCTTGATTACTGTGGCTTTATTTCTTGCCTTGGTATCAGAAAATATCAGAAATCGTTTTGGCCGATGCTGGCTCTTTGCATTTCTGTATACATTTTTCCAGCTTGTTGGTTGCTACAGATAACTTGGGATTGTGATTTGTGTCGCACCCATAGATCCAGTTAGGGACAACAGCATCTTACAATTGAATCCTTTAATCCATGAGCATTTCTGGCTGTTTTTCAAATCGTTGTTTTTCGGCAGTGCTTTGTAATATTTGGTGTACAAATATTGCACATACCTGATTAAATTTATCCCTATATGAATCATGCCTTGCATTTTGTTCCCACTGGATGCATGGCGCACACCTGTAATCCCAGCGCTCTGGGAGGCTGAAGCAGGAAGATGGCAAGTTTAATGCCTGTAGGGGAAGAGCGCCATCCTCTTTCTTCATGTGTATATAGAAGTGCAGCTGATAGTTTTAGGTCGGCTCTGTGTCCCTTGGCTTTACGCTCCTTCACTTACTCTGATGTACTGATGTAGATCCCCTGGGTATTTTGTGTGTAGTCATGTCATCTGCATCTAAAAGGCAGCTTTGCTTCTTCCTTAGCTATGTGTATCCCTTTTATTTCTGTTTCTTACCTTGTTGCCCTGGCTGTGCCTTTGGTAAAATGTTAAATAGAAGCAGGGAAAGGTGGCCATCCTTGCCGTGTTCCTGGTCTTCGGGGGACTCCCTCAGTCTTGCACGGTTAGGTGCGATACCAGCTGTGGGGTTTGTTTTGTTTTGTTTTTTGGTACTGGGGATCAAACTCAGGACCTTGCACTTGCCAGGCAGGTGCTTGTGCCACAGAGCTAAGTCCCCGGCCCCGGCCGTGGGTTGTTTGTAGATACTCTCCCTGACTGAAGTAGTTTCCTTGTCTCTGTGCTTTGCTGGTTCTCTCCCATCAATGTTTTAAATCTGAGTGTGTTTGTGGGTTACCGTTTGCTCAGGTACATGTACAAGAGCAAGGAGCTCATTCGCAGTAAGAGAGAGTGTATTCGGAAGCTGAAGGGAGAAGTGAAAGTCCTGCAGCAGAAACTGGAAAGGTGAGTGCACACGGCCTGCCGTGCTTAGCGCCATCCCAGACACAGAGCTTGGCGGGGTCGGCTGCTTGCTTTAATTTTGGATAATAACGAGTATATTTTATAAGGTGGCTATAAAAATCTTTTCCCGATTGGGAGGAAATCTTAGGACCAGCTAATATACGTAGCTTTTCCCTCTTCCTATGGCTCTGCTGCTGTCTTTGTAAACGTGAGAGAAAATGTGCCAGTGCTCAGTTTCACGGGTGTGAAGTGGCAGAAGGGGCAGAGGAACACTGCTCGGCCTGGAATGGCGCGAGTTAGAAGGGCGGGTTTTTCTGACCTGTGCCAAGTCCTTTCTGTCCTGTGACGCTTTGCTTTTATGTGGGGTTTGTGCCATTTCTGTGCCATCACCGGGCTTTCCCATTCGCTCAGCATTTGTGAGGAAATCTCATGCACCGTCAGTGCAGATTTCTCCCCATCATGTGCTGCTTAACAGTCTCCCTTCCACCCCGTCCACTGCTGTCCCCTCCATTCCCAGGTCGTCAGTCACCCTGAGGGGCAGCGCTTCCCATTTCCAGCCTGAAATGGGCCTTGGCCCCAGGACCCCGTCCCCAGTGCGCCCCAGGAGCAGCTTCCCTGGCTGTATCATGGCCGGTCGCATGCTGTCTGAGTGGAGGCTCACCTCCTCAGGTCCTGTCCTGATTCTGAGGGGCAACAGCATTGTACTTGAAAGATTTTAATAAAACCCCGTAAGGCTAAAATGTTAAGGTATTTTTATAGAACCAGTAATGTTTTGTAGCTCAGAGGGAATCAGGAACCAACAAAGAATCCTGGTTTGTCTGGATTTTAAAGTATATGAACATTTTTCTTTGTATATTACTATTGTTCTAGAATAGAATTTTGAATTTCAGATTTTTTTTTTTTTTTTTTTTTTTTTTTTTTTTTTTTTTTTGGTTCTGTTTTTTTGTTGTTGTGTTTTTGAGACAGGGTCTCACCATGCATTGCAGGCTGGTCTGAACTCACTTACGTCACCCAGGCTGGCCTCCAACTCATGAGGGTTCTCCTGCTTCAGCCTCCTGAGTGCTAGGGTTACAGGCATGCACCACCGTGGCTGTTTTCACATAATATTAAAGTTTAATTTTTACAGATTATACATATATCTGATTGTGTATGTATGATCCAGTCCTGGAAAATATGCAGTCACCTGTTAAAGGGTAGTGTAAGGTAGAAGACCTAAGCCGGAAGTAGGTGACTTCTGTGGCTATTTTTTCTGTTTTGTATTTGGGTTTTCTTACCAAGCACACACATTACTTTTGAGAATAAAAATGGCACACACTTGTTATCCTGGCACTCGGAAAGCTGAGCCAGGAGGATTGTGAATTCAAGGATAATCAGGACTGCCTGTGTACATAGCAAGATCCTGTCTGGGGAGAGAGATTTCACTGTTTCTTCTCTAAAATATACTTGATGTAATCTTGAAAATAAGACTCCCTGAGTACAGTGTAGACAGTGTTTTTGAAAGCCGTTTAGCTCGGATTACACTGCCCAGAACAGCTGTTCTACTGAAGGAGGTGCCTGGCCCAGAAGCTGTCTTAACAGTGTTCAGTGGAACACGAAAATATTAGCATAGAATTGAAGACGAGCTTCTCGGAGAAAAGTTTTCCTGAGATTTTAGACACGTGTTATATTAAAATGCCACCAGCCTGGAATGAGTTACCATTGTGGAACGGTGGCTTGTGGCCCCGTGACAGACAGTGCTGCGTTGCACTGGAATTTGAGAAAACTCAGTCAAGTCAATAGTGGCAGAAGGAAAAGCCAGGAAGAGAGCAGTGCTCTACACTCTTCCGTCTGGACACATTTGGAGACCCTCTTGAGTAACAGCTGCACCTGCGCGGCCGGCGGATCCTCCTCCTCTAAGTTTGGGAACAAGGAGAGTGCACAGCTCCCTTTCCACCCTGTGATCTGCCTCAAACGTGTGGCTGACCTTGAACTGCATTTTTATTTTATGATGTTGTCTTAGTTACTTTATGCTGGTTGCTGAGACAAAATACCTGAAGCCCAAAGTTGGGAAAGGAAAGGTTTATTTCTTACAGTTTTTGGAGGTTTCAGTCCACACTCAGTTGGCTCCAAGACAGGCTGGCATGGCTGGACCGCTGTTCAAGGCGGCTGCAAACAGCAAGCTCAAACCAGCAAAGAGAAACACACACCTTCTTCCTGCCATTACATCACATCCGGCTCCACCCCTATGTGGGTGGAGCACTGACACCATCAACCCAAGCACTATACAATGAACCATCACAAATGAACAATGCAAACTCATGAGGCCTGGGGGACACAAACATAAACCATGACAGATGTTCTGTTAAAATACAGAAACAGGTGATTTTTTTTTCCTTCCAAGTTTTGTTCTTGCTTCTTTCTTCCACTGTATTTAGAGAAGAAAAATGTGGAACTGAGCTTGGTGGCACACACCTGTAATCCCAGCACTTAGGAGGCTGAGGCAGGAAGATTGCTGCAAATTCAAAGCCATCCTGTGTTACACTGTGAGTTCAAGGCCAGCCTGAACTACATAGCGAAGTCTTGTTTTTAAAAAAACAACAACAACCACAAAAAAAGAAGACTATTCTTACATAAAATGGAATCCTAGAATTAGGGGGTTACCTACCTGTACGAACCAGTCAGGTTGATTATTATGCCATTTAAACTGCATACTTTAGAGAACTCTAAAATTCATTCAGTTGAATCTCCTTAGTCTAAAGCAAGTGCTAGTAATGGCAGAATATTAGATTTTATTAAGATATTCTGTGTTAATTTGATCGCATACTTGAAGAGCTTCACTATTTACCCATCCTGCAGAAAACTCTAGTAACCAAGTGAGTGGGCAGATAACAGTGTACGCAGGACCCTGCAGAAGGAAGATCTGCCAATGTCTCCTTTATTTGTGGTACTAGGGATTGAACCCAGAGGGACTCGACCCGTGAGCTCTACCCCCAAGGCCTTTTCATTTTATTTTATTTTTGAAACAAGGTCTTGCTGAGTTGTCCAGACCAGCTCTGAGCTTGCGATGTTTCTGCCTCTGCCTCCCGGTGGCTGGGCTCCCGGGCACCAGCGCCATGTCCCAGTCGGGCTGTATCATCGCCTGCTTTCCACCTGCATCCCCTGTTGTTTTTCTCAGTTGTAAAGCAGCTGGCCTGAAGGACAGTAAGAAAAACCCCTTGAGGACCAGTTAGAATTAGTCTCAGATTTGAGTACCAGCAACTTCTGTGTTTTCTTTAGGAAAGTTTATTTCTGTGATCGAACCCTAGAGGTCACATGATACCAAGGGAAAACATACTGGCATGACTGATGATGAGCCGTTGGAAGTGTTTCTTGCCAAATACAAACTTGTTAGCAATTTTTACTTTTTATGAGACAGATTCATGCTGTGTGGCCCTCCAGCCTTGAATTTGCAGCAGTGTCCCTGCCCCAGCCTCCCAAGTACTGGGATTACAGGCGTGTGCCACCACACCTGGCACAAATTTTGTCTCTGTGGTTTGAGAATTTTTAACTTATAGATTGAGTGACCTGTTAAATATTATATGCCTTCAGGGGTAGACCTAGCCACGGACTCTCTACAAACCTTAGATCTTTTGTTAGCAAATCTTTTTTTTTTTTTTTTTTTTTTTTTTTTTATTATTTTTGGGACAGGATCTCATTAAATTGCCCTCGCTGGCCCATCATCTCAGCCTCCTAAACGCCTGGGATTACAATTGTCCACCACCACACCCAGGTTATGTCAGTATTTTTTTTTTTTTTTTTTTTTTTTGTCTTTTTCCTTTTTATCGGTACCGGGGATCGAACTCACGACTGCCTGCTTGCAAGGCAGGTGCTTATGCCGCTGAGCTAAATCCCCAGCCCCTTAGTTAGCAAATCTTAAAAGGCGCATCAGACTACACTGCCTTCGCCCTTTATGTTTTATTTTATGTCATGTTGTTTTGGCTTTGCCCTGTAGATATGTGAAGTACGGCTCGGGCCCCGCCCGGTTCCCGCTCCCCGACATGCTGAAGTATGTTATCGAATTCGCCAGTACAAAGCCTGTGTCAGAAAGCTGTCCGTCTCCGAGCAACACACATGGGCTGCTGCCAGATTCTTCGGTACAGTGCTCAGTTTCTGACCTGGCGGCCAAGGACAGGTAATGAGAAGCAGATTAGTTTTCTGGTTTGATGGGAAAGATGTATTAGCACTCACCCTGTGGGACTGCGAGGTGGGTTTTGTTTGGTTTTGTTTTTGTACCAGGGATCGAACTTACAACCTTGCACTTGCCGGTCGGGCACTTGTGCCGCTGAGCTAAATCCCCTGCTGGTGTTGGGTGCTGAACAGGGCTTTCACATGGGCCACATCCGCAGCCGTTTTTCCTTTTTCTCTTTCCTTCCCCCCCTCCCCATCTCTCTATCTCTGTTTCTCCCCCCGCCCTTCCCTGTCTCCCCCTTGAGACGGGGTCCCTTCCTAGTTCAGGCGGACCTTGAGCTCACTGTAGCCAAGGCTGGCCTCACACTCAAAGCCACCATTTTGCCTCGGCCTCCTGAGTGCTGCTTGCAGGTGTGCACTACAACGCCCGGCGTAATATTTCATTTTGAGACAGTCTCTCACTGAGTCCCTCAGTTGTGTGGGCTGGGCTCAGCCTTGCCATCCTCCTGCCTCTGCTTTCCACAGGGCTGAAGTCACGGTGTGCCACCATGGCAGGCGGAGCTCTTTGTCTGAGGAAGGATTCTGCCCACTGTCACTCATGCTCAGTGTTCACCATGCTTGTCTTGCTCCCAGAATTGCTGGGGATTGCACAGACACTGTTCCTTGTTCAGGACCGTGTTTGTACTTTTGTAATCTGCTAGAAATACCTTGCTTTGAGCTGGTTGCACTAACACTTTGTCAGAGGAAAATCAGGCCGTGGTTTTCCTAGATCTCCCCTTTGCTCCTCTGCCCTGGTGTTTGAACACCTATGTGAGCACCAAGGAAAGACTTTCTTGTGAGTACAGAGCTAAAATACGGGAAAGTACTGACCGGAAGGCGAAGGGGCCAGCCTGGAGGGCCTGGTCTAGGAACGAGATTGGGAGCTGGGTCACCTGTGCTTCTGATTCTGTTCCAGCTGAGCCAGGTGTGACAGTCACCATCTCCCAGAGGACTCGGGGGGTGAGCGCAGGTCCCACCTGAGGTCTCGGCTCCTCAGAACACTGGTACTCTATGTGAAAGAAAAGCCAGGCTCTCTGTGAATGGAGCGCCAGAGCGATGAGAGTGTCTTTCAAGTCAAAGCTGGAGGAAGTTTCTGTTCCCTAGCTCTGGTAAAGCAGACCCCTAAGTATAATAGAACGTGCTTTTCCTATATAGCGAGATTCCTGTCTTTTTGTAAAAATACGCGTTTGTACTCTGACAATAATAAATCAGCAGATAAGTTCACATTTATGTTCTTTCTCTCTGTTAGTTTACAGCATTGATGTAAAGAAGTTAGTATTTATTGTAGATGAGGTTTTATAGGAAGACTAAGTTAGGATTTAGAGGTGCACGTTTTGGAGGAAGAGTGAGGTACTAACTGAATCTGGTCCCGTGTCCTGGGCCTGTAGCTCAGGCGTGGAGGAGCTGGCAATGCCCGGCTTGAAGCCTACCCGGTGGCTGTCCTGGGGACGCCGCCATCCTTCCTGTGGGTTGGATGTTAACTGACACTTTATTTTGCTTTGCTTCTGCATGTTTTATTTCTGGATGGAGAGCCTCTTTTTTTCATGGTACTGGGAATTGAACTCACGACCTCGCACTTGCCAGGCAGGCGCTTATGCCGCTGAGCTAACTCCCCAGCCCGAGAGCCTTATTTAGACAGTTGTCTTGGTCACTGTAGTTAATTCTTCCAGTCTTCCAACCTCAGTCTTTTCTGTGTTTCTGCTGGTCCTGTCTTTATGAGAAGAGGTTGTAATTAGCATTAAAAGATACGAATCAAAGACTTAGGCAGTTCTGCACTTTGATCTCTTCTGTGTCACCCACTGGCTGAGTCCATTTCAGTAACTTGCTTAGTTTTTTCGTTAAGTTTGTAATTGGTAAAATACTGGGTAATACCTCAGTAAATTCATCTAAGAAACTTTGGCTTACTTGCTTTACAGAGTTAATAGTCGCTAAATAATAGCTGTACTTTTTCATACAGCAGTTTGCTTTCTAGAACATGTTGATCCAGGCCACCATGGATTTCAGAAATGTTCCATGCGCGTGTTTTTGGTCTCCCTGCAGTGTAAGTCTAGAATGCTCCTCAGAGGACGTTGACCGCACCTTTGTTCCCCATGAAGACCATCTGCACGGGTCCGAGGGGATGGACAGGCCGCCGCCCTCCCGCCGGCCCCCCCTGGGAATGCCTGCACAGCCCGCCCCTCGAACCGTCACGCCTGAGGAGATGGCCTTTGTTAGGACCTGTCTCCAGAGGTGGAGGGGTGAAATTGAACAAGACATACAAGGTTGGCGCTTTCAGTCTTGCTGGGGACACTGTCTTTTCTGTTTGCTTGAGTGTTTAGAAGCCAGGCATCTTGGGTGCCCTTTCCACCATTACTGTGCATGAATTTTGGCCTGGAAAGTGTTACTTTTTTGCCCTGTACAATTGGTTCATACCATGTAAATTGGTGTATACAGCTGTGGAAAGCTGTATAAAATCTCTGGAAATCTGCAGATGTTTAGAACTCATCATCACGTTTACTGAGAGTAACTGATCTTCCTTCCTGTGTCCTCCCTGTCTCCTTCCTTTCCTTTCCTTTCCCTTTCCTGGCTTGTTTCCCTTCCTTCCTCCCCGCCTCTCCCCTCCCCTCTCCCGCACTCCGTTCTGCTCCCCTCCCTGCCTGCTTTCTTTTGGTGTTTTTGACTACATCTTGCTGACCTTGAACTCACTGCGTAGCCCAGGCTGTCCACGAACTTAACTGATCCTCCTGCCTCCGCCTCCCAAGGGCTGGGATTACAGGCGTGCACCACCAGGCCTGACTTGTGCTTACTTTCTTTTTGTCTGTCTTTGTTTCTTTCTGTTTGTATAGTGGCCTTAAACTCATGGTGAGTCTGATGCCTCAGCCTCCCACGTGTGTGCCATCAAGCCAAGCCTGCTGTCTCTTTCAGGTCCCATGGCTGGAGCCTGTTTCTGTAACCTGAGCAACCCACTGAAATTTCTTCTAAATGCAAACGGTTGCTTCCTTCAGAAATTTTGATACTAGACAGGTGCGGTAGCTTGTAATTCCAGCACTTGGGAGGCCATGGAAAGAAGATCATCGTATGTTTCATGCCAGACTGAGCTACGTAGTGAGTTTAAGACCAGTCTGATCTGTGTAGTGAGACCCTGTCTCAAAAAAACCAAAAAAAAAATTTTTTTTATACTGATTATAAAAGTGGTCTACAAAAGCTTAATACAGTGGATTAGCAGCTTTTTTATGACTTTTTAAAAAAGCCTTCATAAGTAAAAGCAGTAGTGGATTTAAAACTCTGCTTTGTGGTCCATGGTGGAAAGTTGGGATCCTTAGAACTGGGTGTGTCCATAAGCTGCTCTCTGCCTAGCTGAACAGCTGCATGACGTGGACTGTGAGAATTTTAAGTGTTCTTTTTTCACAGACTTAAAGAGTTGTATCGCCAGCACCACGGAGGCTATTGAGCAGATGTACTGTGACCCTCTCCTTCGCCAGGTAGAGTACACGGTGGTGGGGAGGCGAGAGCCAAGACCGGGCAACGGCAGATACGAGGGAGTGTGATAGCCTTCTGGGAAACCAAGTGCAGTCTTCCTGCGATACAGGAATAAGCCTAAGCTTTAGTAATACATGTAACGAGCAATCTGTTGTTCCTTTAGTTTGGGTTAAAAGCAGCAATGCTGTTTGCCTGCAGTAGAATCTAAAGCACCCTTACTTTCTTAGTTTCTTTGGTACTTTTTCATAAAGTAGAAAGGTTTACTGTCAGATAGCAATAAAAATTTCTCACAAATTGGGAATGCAAGTAGTGCAGTGGGAAAGCTGAGCCAAGAACTGGGTATCCACTCTTCCCGGAAAGCCCTGGTCAGCCAGGGAGGGTGATGGTCCCCGTGATCCCAGTCCCTGGGAGGCTGACGCAGGACGATCACCTGGAGTTCAAGGCCAGAGCACCGTGGTCCTTTGTGATCCGTTGGCATCAGGCATTCAAGTTTTATTTCTCTAATAACTTAAGCCTTCAAATGTGGCGGCACGGAAGTTCCCATTGTCCACACGGAGTTTTATTCAGAGCAGTGTCACACCGTGGCATGCTAGGGTTGTCTGTTCTGTCACTTAAACGTTTGCCATCCGTGGGAACATGCCAAAGTAGACATTTAAATCTGATTGTATAACTGGCTTTCCTGTCTTTCACTGGGTTTACTTTTGGTTCTGTTTGGTCCACATTGAAAACAAAGTATTTCCTTTTTAATTGCCAAAAGAATGAAGTTTGTAGACCTGGTCTCCACCCCAGATAGGTGACGGTCGTAGACAAGAAGAATTACAGGGTGCGTGTGACTGGTTAATAATGAAATACGGTAAATTAAATTTTGGTACCAAGTAAAATAGGCATAAAATAAGAGCTGTTAAACTTGTTTATAGGTCCCAAATAGGGCGAACATTTCCAAGGCTATTCTTAGACAATGAACTTTTGAGTTGGAAGGATAAATAAATGTAGGCTGTCTTTGTTTTAGATCGCTAATCATAGGAGTTCATAATAGATCCTTCAGAAAGGTCGTCTGGTTCACCGTCTGCTTTTGAGAGTCTAGAAATGGGAAATAATAAGTTCCAAGACGGATGTTAATGAGATGTTTCACGTGAGCCCTGTGCAGACACCACGCCCCGCACACACAGCCATTTTCCCGTTGGTGGTAGCCGCAGTCAGTGCTGAATTTCAGCCAGCTACACTCCATAATGTAACTAGCGGTTTCTCCTCTGGGTCGCAGGTGCCTTATCACCTGCATGCAGTCCTCGTTCACGAAGGACAAGCCAACGCTGGACACTACTGGGCCTACATCTATAACCAGCCCCGCCAGGTCTGGCTCAAGTACAATGACATCTCCGTCACTGAGTCTTCCTGGGAAGAACTTGAAAGAGATTCGTACGGGGGCCTGAGGAATGTCAGCGCTTACTGTCTGATGTATATTAATGACAAGCTGCCCCACGTTAACGCAGGTAAAAGTATCTTCACAGAACCTGGAGCCTGGGGAAATGTAAACTGTCCAGGGAGGGTAGCAGTCTCGTACTGCTTTTGAGAACGTTTGAAGTGTAACTTATTAGGTAATAGTGCATTTTAAAAGTTATAAAGAGGGGGCCGGGGTATATTCCAGTGGCACAGCGCCTGCCTGGCAAGTGCAATGTCCTGAGTTCAGGCCCTGGTACTCTCCCCTCAAATATATATATGTACAGTACTAAAGGAATAGAAAAATGAGTTTTGTTTTCCTGTGTCTAAATACATCTGGGGGAGTTTTGTTTTGTTTGATACACGGTCTTGCTATGTAGTTCAGGCTGGCCACGAACTCACTGTATAGTCCAGGCTGGCCTTGAACTCACAGTGATCCTCCTGCCTCAGCATCCCAAGTGCTGGAATTGTACGCATGTGCCACCACACCTAACCTTCTCATTCTTTTTAAAAACTACATGAAATAAATTATAGTCCATTTGACAGAATTATTTCATAATGTTCTGTTTCGTTTTTTTGAGACAGGGTCTTGCTTTGCAGTTCAGGCTGTACTTAAGTTCATTGTGTAGGCCAGGCTGGCCTTGAACTTGCAGGATCCTCCTGCTGCCACCTCCTGAGTGCTGGGACTGTAGGCATGCACCACCATGCCCAGCCTCATACTGCTTTCTGATAGCATGTGATTGTTTGAAACTCGAGGAAGTATACATGCTTGAAATTCATCAGGCTCTCTTTAAGAGAGATCTTATTGTCAGTAGATACAGTAGTTAAATTGGTAAAACTGTTAGCTTTGGGTCTGTTGATTTTCCAAATTTCCAAGAAAAATTCGATACACGCAGTGATTGGCTATGATTCCAGGTCCTCGCTCTCCATCCCTCGTTCACTTAACAGATACTTAGTAAGTGCCACCTACTGATGTGCTCGATACGGTTACTAATGTTCTCTGCACATTTACTGGCCTTATAGTGCTTTATTTCTGATGTGTATGTGTTTGTTGTTGTTGTTATTTAATTAGGGCAAGACAAAAGATGAAATGTGTTGCGTTCTTTCTGGAGAAAACTTTTCGGCTCCTAGAGAGCTTTTTCTGGAGTGAACGCTTTTTAAATTTATGTACTTAATGATTTCCACAGAGACCTCCCCAGATGAATCGGATCAGATGATAGCAGAACTGGAAGCCCTGTCTGTTGAACTCAAACATTACATTCAGGAAGACAACTGGAGGTTTGAGCAGGAAGTAGAGGAGTGGGAGGAAGAGCAGTCTTGCAAAATCCCTCAAATGGAATCCTGTTCGAGCCCCGCGTCCCAGGAATTCTCTTCTTCACAAGGTGCTTAGGAAGGGCGCTGTGCCGGTGACCTAGCGACAGTCCCGCTGCACCCCGCAGTCACCCTGTACACCTCAGTAACTGAGTGATGCCATGAATCCCCGACATCGGTTGTGTTTATGGTTGGTGTTGCACAACCTGGTAGAACACCTTGGAGTGGGATTTCTGATAGAAATTGTGGAAGAAGGGCCGGGTGTGCGGTGCACGCCCGTGATCGCAACACTGGGGAGGCCGAGGCAGGAAGTCAGTTCCCTGCGAGTTTGAGCCAGCCTGGGTTGCACAGTGACACCCTGTCTCAAAATAACAAAAAGAAATGATGCCACAAATGGTGACAGAAATGCTACCTGTGTTATAATAGGAGTAAGTAGACTTCATGAAAACTAACTTCCCCGGGAGATCTTCCTAGCAGCTGGTTGTTTTTAGGAAGTTTCCTTGGCACAAGGCAACACAGCAGAGTTGGGGGCACAGTAAATTTAATAGACTCTTCGGTGGAATTTTACCAGAGTGGCCGTTTCATGGAGTCGCTAGCTCCTAGGGGAGATTTGCACAGACTTGTAGAAAGGTGTAGAAGCAGGGTTGTGTTTTAAACTGGGTCTGTCCGCTTGCGTGTTAGCAGTGTGTGCTAACGTGTTCCTGTGCCTGTGTCAGAGCCCGCAGCAGCCCCTGCTCCCGGCGTCCGCAGCCTGTCGTCCGAGCATGCCGTGATCGTGAAGGAGCAGACCGCCCAGGCCATCGCCAACACGGCCCGCGCCTACGAGAAGAGCGGCGTGGAGGCAGCCCTGAGCGAGGTGAGGGGACCAGCGCAGGGGCCGCAGCGGGCCTCCAGCCACGGTGGCCACACGTCCTTCTCGCCTTTCTGTTGTTCCGCGTCTGCTGCATTTAACCAACCCCTGTTTATTTCTCCTCTCTCTTTCATACTCTTCCTCCCATTCTGCTGCCGCAGCTTAAAGAAGCTGAACCCAAGAAGCCCAGGCCCCAGGAAGCAAACCCTTCAGAGCAGTCAGAGCGGCCCCCGCAGGCTCAGGCCGCCGCCCCGCCTGGCTCTGAGGTCTCTGAAGTGGACATCCCCAGTGTGGGAAGGATTCTGGTTAGATCTGATGCAGATGGCTATGATGAGGAGGTACAGAGGCGCGGTGCGGCCAGTCGTACGTCTCCGCTTGTGTGATGACTGTTCCTCCTAAGGGGCCTGTCAGTGTCCAGGTTCCCTTTTCTTTAAAGACAGTTTTGTGCTTTGTGCTGCTCTCGTGTGTGTATCCGGACAAATTTAGGCTTATGTGTGATGTGGGGGCCTCAGAAAGGTGGGATTTCCTTCCTTTTTTTGGTGCTGTCAACAAAAGATTGCTTTCAAGTGTCAAGGGTATCTTTGTTTTTGGTATTGGTCCGTTGTGTTCCCTCCAAATAGAAATTTTTCAGCTGCCCAGTGAGCAGAATGGATGTGGATTAAAGTTGTTTTTCTCTTTTAATACTAGAGCTTTAGGAAGAAGCTGCAGAATACTAAGTTACTCCTTGTCTGTCTCCTTTTCATTGGCACTGCACAGAAACAATTAGGAATCTTCTCAGACTTTTGTTCTTTTCTTTGAAAGGTTTTAAAGGAATCATTTGTTTAGCTCCAAGTTTTCAGACTGCTCTAAGTGTGGTGTTCATCCTAGTAAAACTCTAAACTCCTTAAGAATATGTAAGTTGCGCACCCCAGATTACAGCACTAAATGATGACTCCGGCCTCAGACGCCCCTCTGGGAGCTGTCGTTTAGTTTTGAGCAGTGCCACGTTGGAGATACTTTTGCCCTGCGTCTTTCTTTACCTTGCTAAACCAGATGGAACGCGTGGTGTAGGAGTCCCTGGTTTGGGCAGGGTGTTGGCGCTGTGTCGCGGGACAGAGGCTGTGCATGCGTGTGGAGCAGGGCTGTGGAACTGACCTCCAGTGGTGCTGGCCAGGAGCGCTCCGCTCCGCTTCCCTGCTGCCCTGTTGCCTGCTCTCTCGCTCATGGTCTCCTTTTGAACCTTTCTTCTTCTCTTTTTCTCCCTGTGTTTTATGCCCTCTTGTGGTAGGTGATGCTGAGCCCTGCCATGCAAGGGGTCATCCTGGCCATAGCTAAAGCCCGTCAGACCTTTGACCGAGATGGGTCTGAAGCAGGGCTTATTAAGGTATCTCTGATTTTAAAATTATAATCCTTATAACCCAGGTGTCATAATATCGGGGAATAATTACATGAACTGGGGAGGTGGTCAGACTGTCCTTCATTGAAGTGACACATAAAAGCTGCTTTCCTGTCCAGCTAATGAACAAGCGGTCCCACAACACCCTGGGCTCCTCCTCCGTCCTGGTCAGCAGTGCCATCCTGTGTTGTACCTCATGTGCAGGGCCTATTGTGGTTCTTAGGAGACATTAGTCAAGCTATGAATAAGATTGTACCTTTATAATTTTGGAAACCTAAATATAAGAAAGTAGGTCTTGCTTTTTAGGGTATTTGAATAAAACTTAATGTACTTGAATACATTTGTATGGATTTTTTAAAAATTCCTGTCTTAGCTGTAAGACTATGCCTGTCACAATGACAGTGAAATTCTTTTTTCCAAGTGCAGAGTATTGAACTCAGCACCTTTACACTGATATCCCCAGCTATTTTTAAATTTTGAGACTGAGTCTTACTAAATTGCCAGGTTACCCAGGCTGGGCTTGAACTTCAGTCCTCCAGCCTCAGGCTCCCAGAGTGCTGGGATTACAGATACATGACACCATACATGCCTGGCCAAAACTAACTGCTTGTTTTTTCATGAGCCTCGTGAGAATGTTGTTTTAAATTTGATGTTTGGCCCTAGAATGCTGAGGAGTTGCATCCTTCAGGGTAGGCACACAACCCAAAGGTTCCTTCATTGTTCTTACAGTTCCTCAGTAAGAATCCTCTAGACTGACCGTGGAGGTGGGTGACCCTCTTTCCTCAGACAGGATCCTTCTGTACACGGGTTCGCAGTGCACCCTGTCTTAATATCTGCTGTCTCTCCAATAGGCGTTCCATGAAGAATATGCCAGGCTCTATCAGCTTGCCAAGGAGGCCCCCTCCTCTCACAGTGACCCGCGCCTTCAGCATGTTCTTGTCTACTTTTTCCAAAATGAAGCACCCAAAAGGGTCGTAGAGCGGACCCTTTTGGAACAGTTTGCAGATAAAAATCTGAGCTATGATGAAAGGTGAGAAGGGAATGCTCAGGCAGGCGGCCCCTCTCCACCTGGGCTTGGCTGGTCATCTGCACCCTTTCACTGTTGTCTGAACTTTGTTCTGCTCAGATCAATCAGCATTATGAAGGTGGCTCAGGCTAAACTGAAGGAAATTGGTCCTGATGATATGAATATGGAAGAGTACAAGGTGAGCCTCCCGTACCTTCGTTCCTGGGGATTGAAATGCAGGGCCTTTGCACTGAGCTGCATTATCAGAAATGTCTTCTGATGCTAAGTTGCCCAGGCTGGGCTTAAATTTATGACCCTCCTGCCTCAGCCTCCTGAGGGCTGGGATTACAGGTGTGTACCACTATTCCTGGCTTGTTTTTGTTTTTGTTTTTTAAAATCTACAAAGAAAAAATTAATTCTGGAGGTTAATGATGCCTGAGACAAAATTACAGTTTGTGTTACCACTGACTTACTAAAAAGTCTGGGAGCCAGGTGTGGCAGCGCATGCCTGTGATCCTGTCACTCAGAAGGCTGAGGCAGGAGAATTATTACAAGTTTGAGACCAGCCTGGGCTACCAAGTGAACTCAAGACCAGCCTGAACTGCATAGTGAGACTGTGTTTCAAAAAGCACCCCCAGCCCACCCCCAGACAGAGGCCTGAGAAAGGCTAGGTAAATGGGCATCTTGTCCTCCACACAGCAGGCCTCCCTCTGTCCGTCTGTCTGTCGGAGTGAGTCAGCACAGTACTGTATGTTTTCTACGAGCCCACTGAGCCTTGTCCTATTAAGTAAAATTCTGGGAATTTGTGTTTTTGATTTCCAGAAATCGTACTGTTTTTCTAATAGATATTGAAATCTATACAGCTACAGATTGTTTTTAAAAAGCCATTGTGCGCCATGCTAAACAGTGATTCTGCCACCACGGTGTGCTTACCGCACTTCTGAGCTTGTGGCTGCTTTGTGGACCCAGCCTTTCTTCTCGTCTTCCTCTATCAGGATGAACTCGTCAGTACTGGTAGTCCCTTTGAGTTAGCTCTGAGCGATGCTTTTGATTTTAATGACCCCGGGGGCTGTATCACTGATCTGCACCCTTCCCCCCACTACTTTTTAAAATTTTGTTTTGAGGTAGCATCTTACCAGGTTGCCCAGGCTGGCCTCAAATTTGGGATATTCCTGCCTCAGCTTTCTGAGTAGCTTAGATTACGGATGTGTGCCACCAGTCAGCTAAGGACTGAAGGCCTTTGATATGGAGGTTGGAACTGTATTGTAAAGCTTCTGTGAAACATTTCTGCTTCTTAGTTGAAGGAAGAGACTGAAAATTAAGGTGAATGATAGATTTTTATTCCTAAGGGCAAATGGACTTGTGTGAAATTGTAATACTTTGTGCATGGCTAGGTGAGCTTCATAAACATTTACACCTAATTAGAAGCTTGCAGTGGAGGAGGGTGTGCAGCACCGAGTTATGGGAACAGCTCGTTAATGACAGCCCTTCCCTTTCAGAGGTGGCATGAAGATTACAGTTTGTTTCGGAAGGTGTCCGTGTACCTCCTGACAGGTCTGGAACTCTACCAAAAAGGAAAGTACGTGGGCCTTTTGTTTTGCTTAGGTTGTGGGTCAGGACAGTTACTGATGCCCTCCCAGGGACGCTGCAGTCACAGCCCGCACCCCTCCCGTGTCACGTGCACTGGTTTGCCTCTCTCCTTCCTGGGGTGTCACTCAGTTTTGCTCTGAATATTGCATGTTATTTTCATCGTTCAGCACACTGATTCATTTATTGTTTTATTGCTTTTTTTGTGTTTTTTTTTTTTTTGTCTTTTTCTTTTTTATTGGTACCGGGGATTGAACTCACGACTGCCTGCTTGCAAGGCAGGTGCTTATGCCGCCGAGCTAAATCCCCAGCCCCTGATTCATTTATTGGTGGAGAGGTAGACAGCACCCGATGTTCTCTGTGGGGAATGAGCATGAGCTTGGGGAGTGATTTTCCAACTTGGCATAGAGCTGTAGTCCAGTGAGCTGTAGTCTCTCTCTGTCTCTGTCTCTGTCTCTCTGTCTCTCTCTTTCTCTCTTTCTCTGCCTGTCTTTCTGAGGAGGGTTTGACTGCGGTTCAGCTGGCCTTGAACTCACGTAAGAGTGCTGGGTCCGGGCTGCACCTCTGCACTAGGAGTGCTGGCTAGACTAGACCTGGCCTAGTCTCCGTTTACTTTTAGAGATGGGAAAAACCGAGGCCCAGGGGAGTCTCCTGATGTGCCTGGAGTCTCTCGGCCCCGTTGAGACTGGCTGTTGGCCTGCAGACTTCTCCCAGTGGCCAGGCTGACTCTGTTTAAGGCTTTTCTGCGATTGCAGCCAACTAGGTTTTTGTACTGGGGAGTAATTGGGGCTAAGCTGTAGTTTGCGGCAACACAGAAGTCAGCTGCACTTGATTTCCCTTTTCCTTAGGTACCAGGAAGCACTGTCCTACCTGGTCTACGCCTACCAGAGCAATGCCGCTCTGCTGATGAAGGGGCCCCGCAGGGGTGTGAAGGAGTCAGTGATTGCTTTGTACCGAAGAAAGTGCCTTCTGGTTTGTATTATTTGTAATGCCTGGAAATTTTGATTTGTGTGTGTGTGTGTGTGTGTGTGGTAAATGCATTTCTGCTCTTTGAAACCGTGCTGATACACATTTAAAATAATTATCTCTAAGCCAGGCATGGTGGCTCACGCCTGTAATCCTGGCATTTGCGAGGCTGCGGCAGGAGGATCGTTGCAAGTTTGAGACCAGCCTGGGCTACAATGTGAGCCCAAGGCCAGCCTGAACTGCATAGCAACACCCTGTCTCAAAAAGACCCTGAAAAACAGGAAGAAAGAAAAGACTTTTTCTCCCAGAACTTTCATGAGCAGTTTACATTGCAGTGAGTTTTTGTCATGTTGCCTTAATTGAGTATCATTCTTCTTTAACCCAAAGAGCAAAGAGTCCACCGTCCTGTCCTCTGTGCCGTTCCTGGGTGCCTGCACTGTCGCCTGCTCACAGCTTTTTACTAGGTCGTGAGTCGCTGAGCCCAGATCCTCAGCCAGCTCTTCTGGGTGTGGCATGTGATAAACATGTGATAAAGGCTGCTGAAGGGAGGTGTTTTTGTGGCTCCCTCCTAAGCTGGTAGTGGACGGCTTTACAGGCTTCTAAGAGGCTCCAGCTTTTAAAGGGGTAATGGTCCTACCTTTCTACTGGTGCACAGTCACACATGAGTGAAGACCAAGCCTAACCTGGCCTGCTTTACGTTTGACAGCCACAGGGGCGCACAGTCCTCACCCCGCCGCCTGCGCTGCCTCTGTCTTGCTAACACAGAACATGCAGCGGCTTCCCTCTTCTGATTTATACCATGACTCTTGTGTCAGTTTAAGTGTGGCAGGGTTAGCGTGAGAAGGCGTCGTGCATTGTGGGACTAAACGTCACTCGTCACACTTTGACTTTTTAAATCACCAAGTGCAGGCCGACATTTAATGTCGGCTCAGCTTCCGCAGCAGGGCGATAGAAGGATTTAGTTTTTGCATTGCTGGATGTCAGCCCTGCAGTGTGTTTCCCAGCCATGCAGTGAGCTTCTCTCAGTTTATTAAAAAGAAAGGCTTGTGCTAATATTGTTCTGACAATTAAATGCCGATACCGTGTACTCTTGAGTGAGTAAAGGTAACAGTACACAGCATATTATCTGTTATTACCCTCTTAATGTCTTGTTTCAAAAATTTGCTTTTTTATTCTCTTTAGAATAAAATAAGTAAACTTAGTCCCTCCATAAAGCTCAGCGTAGGCGTGCACTCCTGTAATCCCGGCACTCGGGAGGCTGAGGCAGGAAAAGGTTGAAGTTTGAGATCGAGCTACAAAGTGAGCTTGAGGCCAGCCTGGACTGCAGACCCTGTCTCAAAAAGACAAAAAAGGAACCTTGGTATCAGTGTATTAATAAAGGATTTTTTTTTTCTCCCTGGTACTGGGGATTGAATTCAAGAGGCCTTTGCACTGAGGAATATCACCAGCCCTTATGTTATTTTATGTATTTTTATTTGATTTGATTTTTTGAGACAGTCTAGCTAAGTGGCTAAATTTTTTAGACTGGGCTTGAAATGCAATCCTCTTGCCTCGGCGTCCCAGAGTGTTATGATTACAGATGTGGGCTGCCTAGCTTAATGCAGGAGATTCTGGTGCTCAGTGGAAAGCAAAAACCATTGAATGAAACAGAGAGAGTGTGTGTATGTTGTGTGTATGTGTGTGTGTAAGCAGATGTTAAGCATGACCTTACTTGTGGGTTTAGGCCAGTGGGTCATAGACGTGTTTACATTAAAATCATTTTTTAAGCTTTTATAAATCCTGCTCCCTGAGTTATTTTCATTATACCCATGTATCTGGGATGGGAGCCAGGCATCGGTGGGTTTCCCGGTCTCTGGTAATTCCAGTGTGCAGCGGAGTAGGGGAGCCATCTATTTAGGTTCTTGTTAAATAGATGCTGACCTTTTCAGACACCTTTTCTGCCTTCTGTCGGTAGGAGCTAAATGCTAGAGCAGCTTCACTCTTTGAAACCAACGATGACCACTCTGTAACCGAGGGCATTAATGTGATGAATGAGCTGATCATTCCGTGCATTCACCTCATCATTAATAACGACATCTCCAAGGATGACCTGGATGCCATTGAAGTCATGAGGAACCATTGGTGCTCTTACCTTGGGCAGGACATTGCAGGTACGTTGTTAGCACCTCCATAACTGCTAAGGTGCTCTGCATCCTAGAAGTCACAGTGGTCTGTCTTTGACAGTAGTCAGAGCACTTAAGGGAGGGAATCAAAGTCCCTAGCAGATAAGTGAATTAAATAAGTCTATGAAATGGGGTGAGTGCCTCGCCCCTGCGACCGAACTCCTGCTTACTCCTCTCAGCCTGGCAAGCCCCTGCATGGACAGCGAGTCCAGTGTGAAAACAGTCCGTTCTCCCCAGACTTACATCACCCCTCATCTGCCAAAATCCCTTCATGCTTAGTATGTTTCCTTTTAATAGCATAAGTTATTTATACCATGGGTTATCTATAGCTTTATTTAATGCCATTGTACACATTGGTATATTTTAAACATGTGAAAGACAATAGCGTTATTATATATATGGTACAGAGTAGCACATGTACCTTTTCCAATATTAAAAAAAGTGATCAGAAGACATATCCATGAAGAATCAAATGCTTGACATCACTGTGCCAGCATCAGATAGATGAAAGCAGTGGCCTAAAGCTTTGCTCTGTTGAGCAGGCAATTCCTTGTTCCTGGTCGGCATAGACATATCATTTGTAGTTAGCAGGTCAGAATAATGCTTTGCGCTGTGAGGCTGAGTAGCAAGCCGTTTGAAGCTCTTCTGATACAGTTGTAGGCTTATTAGTTTTTATACAGTGATCCATTCAGCTGTACATGTAATTATCCATTTTTCCTCTACAGAAAATCTGCAGCTGTGCTTAGGGGAGTTTCTGCCCAGGCTTCTGGATCCTTCCGCAGAAATCATTGTCTTGAAGGAACCACCAACCATTCGCCCTAATTCTCCTTACGACCTTTGTAGCCGATTTGCAGCTGTCATGGAGTCAATTCAAGGGGTTTCCACTGTGACAGTGAAATAAGCACCTCCCGTGCGAGGCCCACCGTGCTCTCCGGTTGCCTGCTTGTAGCGCAGCAGTCTGTCACCACAGCGTTCTCGGGGAGAGGATTAGGTGGGTAAGTGAGGCTCACCGCCACACCCCCCTGCTGCCTGTTTCAGCAGGGCTAAAGACAAAGTTGCACTTTGTAGGTTCAAAGTTAGAAAAGCTGTTCACTTGTAGAAAAGGCAGGAAGCAGTGTGGTGTGCTGAGGTCTTGAATTATGCCTGAAGACCTGAAATGCCTTGAAGCCACACGCTTGGGCTTTCTCTAATCCCTTCACCGCTTTTTAAATTATCCTTCAGGCATAAATATTTTTGACAGCAGACTAGAAGAGTGACTCCTCAGAACCTGACCCCATGAGCAGCTCCTAGTTATTTCACCAGGTACAGATGGCATTTTAAAATTCGGAATCAGGAGAGACGAGGAATGCAAACCCTGCCTTGCTCTTGATGAGAGGAGAGCACAGCGGGCTTCTGCGAGCCCTCGTGGGTGGACGTAAGCTCGCGTGGCAGGAGGTCTGGAAGGTCAAAGCTGCACCTCCTTTCTTGTGTCTCCTGTGTTTTTAAATAAGTCACAAGGCCTCATTCGCAGGCCTGAGTAAAGGGAAGACTGCAAGAGCTTTGGACAGAACAGCTTTGTGCAGGTCGGCTGACGATGGCGTTGTAGTACATTCAGGCAGAATTCTCCCCTCTCTGAAAATTGTCGGAAACAGATGTCTGAGGCCGCTGGCTGCCCGGTAGAACATTTGATTCCCCCTGTCCTTTTTTGGTTTTAACAAATCAGGAATATGGATTTGTAAAAAGAAGAATATATATATATATATATGTATGTATATGTATATGTATATTTAGAGATAAAACTACTTTTAAAATACTTCTAACTGGGAATTACGTTTAAACCAAAATTTGATTAACACAGGAAACACGGGAAAGAACAACACTTGATACAACTATGCAGATTTTATAATGTGCAATAAAAGTATTTGTTTTACCTTTGGTGTACAGTCTGGTCCTTATTTAATGTGTATTTTTCACTTGGGAAACGGATGGACTGAGTAGGCATTCATTTGTTCAGACTTTTCTTTAAAAGAAAAAAGCATGTTAAAGGACTGAGAAGTTTGATAGAACTGAAGGTACCTTCATGTCCGAGAGCAAGTGATAGGAAATTCCTTAACAACAGCTAGTGCTGACTGATACCCTTCTTATCTGATTGATTTGCAATGTATTGAATGTATCCACATTGGAACTTGTCAAGTTTTAGAATGTAAAAATGCAACAAAACAAAACAAAACAAAACAAAAAAAAGCAAGAAATTGTCCCTTTAAGCTGAGTTCCTTTTTTTTTTTTTTTTTCTTCCTTAAACTACTGGTAGGTCATCTTAAAGGTCTGTGTGTCACCATTTGCCTTGACCTTAATTCCTGTCCTTATTGAGTAATGTACACTAATGTGCTTTGGTTACATTATTTCACTTTGAGATGCACATAGGACCTGGTTTAGGCTGTCTTCGCAGTTTACGGGTTAATGACAATGAGTTGTCCTGTGTAGTTTGTTGGTTTGGTTGCTTCCCCGTGTCGTCCCACTCCCGCCCGCTCGTCCTCCCCACTGGTTATTTCCCGGTCACTGCCCGGGAATCCACCGTTGGCACAGAGGAGAACAGGTACGCACCTGGCACCTGCAGTGTGTGCTGCTCTGTGGCGAATCCGTCAGGGCCACTCAGACCAGCAGGTGGAGTGCTGGGAACTGTTTCCCCCGAGCTGTCTGCCGTAGTACAGCCTCATTGCTTAGCAGGCTCTAGCAGCTAAGATAGCAGACCTTGTGACAGCCCTAGAGATGAGAATGATTTTGTACGTTTTGAAAGACTGGGACAGAGAATGAAGAAAAGGTGAACAGTAGGAAGAAGCTTACGCGCGCTCGCCTAAGTGATTTAAGAAGAGTTTGAGCAGGATACTTGACCTCAACACAAATCCAGATGATTTCAGACTTCCGTGGTTAACTAGGATTGCAACCTCTTTTGTTTGAATTTTAAACCCTTTTAAGAACTAAAAAGCAGCCAAGCATGGTGGCTCATGCCCGTAATCCCAGCACTCTGGGAGGAATAAGCAGGAGGCTTACAAGATTGAGCCCGGCCTTGGTAGCTTAGCAACTTACCGAGACCCTGTCTTAAAAGTTTAAAGGGTGAGGGTGTGTGGGGCTATAGCTGAGTGCAGAGCCTCTCGGTTCAAACCCTAGTATCAATAAAACCACACCAAAAATCATTAAACTCATGTTTATCCTGCGTGTTTCACACGAGAAGTACATATAGGTACGTGTGAAACAGTGCGTGGACGACAGGTGAGAACTGAAAGACCTGAAGAGGGGGCCGAAATCGATAGCTCTCATTTGTTCAGCTGCTCTAGGTAAAACAATGTATTACTGTATTTGGGCCACTAAATCTCACAGTTTGTTCTACAAGTTGTTATTTCCACGTTTTGGCCGTATACTCCGAGAAACATTCACGTACATCTTTTAATGTCCACGTGCATCATGTACTAGTGTATAATGAGGAGTGTAATTAGGGGTCATAGGGTTACGTGGATACATCGTTCTTAGATACTACCAAACAGCTTCCAAAGAGTTACACAAACTTAGGCTCTCGGCAGGGTCAATTCCTTGCTCTGTCTTTGCCAGCATTCGCTGTTTTCACAGGAGTGTCAGTGATGTCTCTTGGTTTTGGTTTGCAGGTTTCCAGCTTTTTTTTCCCCCCTTGGTACAGGGAATCAGACTCATGACCTCATGCTTGCCAGGCAGGCGCTTACGCTGCTGGACTAAATCCCTGGCCCGCCAGCAAAAATACTGATGAGCATCACTTCATTTGCTTAAGTGAATTTTGGCCATTGTGTTTTGTGAAATACGTATTCAAGGCTGTTTTCAGTTTTGTTGTTGAACATTCTGTCCTGAACATACTGATTTTTGTGGCTTCTGTATATTTCATTTCTGCAACTTTTACTGAATGTATGTGCTGAAAGTATCTTTTCCCAGTGTGTGGCATTTAACTTGATAAAAATAAGTTTGATATTAATATCTAATTTACCAGTCTTTCTCTTTTGTCATTGAAATTATTACACAAGGTCATAAAGCTTTTCCCCCGTGTTATCTTCTAGACGTTTTACCTTTCATGTTTAGCGGATTTGAATGAGCACTATTTATCGGAAACATTTCCCTGTTCTCACTGCATCGTTTTTGTAACGCAAGTGTCTTGTGTTCTGTTCCTAGATTTTTTGTCTGTGCTTCTGGCCTAGGTGTCTAGCAGCACCAACATCACACTGTGGTACTTTCATGTTTCCAATACTATACATTGTCCAGCTTTGACTGCTTCAGGATTGCCTTGGCTAATATTGATCCTTTGCATTTCCAAATAAATGTTTAAATTAGTTTGTCACACAGTGACACCACACGCAAACTTCTGGGGCTTTTTATTAGGTTTCTAACAACCAGGTAGTTTGGGGAGAATTGACACGCTCTTGGTCAGTTGACTCTTACTGATGGACATCTTGGTGTTTTGTTTATACCGCATCAGAATACGGCACCACTGGAGATTGAACGCACAGAGCACTGAGCAGTATCCCCAGCCTTAAAAAATAAAAAGTCTTTTTCTTTTTGGATATAGGTTCTTGATAAATTGTGTACTTACAAGGACTTTTTGTACAGTGTACCTTTGTCCCCCGATATCAAGGGGACAGGTTGTCACTATGTTACTATTGTAGTTTAGGATGATACGCTTGTTATTCAGTAAAGAAAGATCAATCTATTACCACCTAGTTTGTTGTTTTTTTAATCATGAATAAAAAAATGAATTCAAGAATTTTGTGTGTATGCTTATAGGTTTTCCCGTGGATTGTTACTATTTGAGCTACATATATTGGTTTCAAATTTTATTTCACTTTAGGCTTTTTTGAGACAAGGTCTCACTATGCAGTTTAAACTGGCTTTGAACTCTGCAGCTTTTCTGCCTCAACCTCCCAAGTGCTAGAATTATAGATGTGCACCACCTGGTGCCTGGTGATTTCAAGTTTTAAACCATGCACTGTCAGAATAAATTGTGTTTAATTATGATATCTTTTAAAATGGAAGAAGAATTTTGATTGGAATTTTTGCATGTGCCTTCATGAGTGATAGGCCTTTTATTTTCTCACAAGGTACTTGTCATAATTTTGGTATTAAGATTATTCTGGCCTTACTGAATGAGTTTGAAAATGAGCTCTCATTTTCTGTGTTCTATGGGCATTTGGACAGGGTTATTTCTTTTATAATGTATAGGAGAATTAATCATGCCATCCCAAACAAATCTATTTTGTGGGAATAATTTTAATTATGGATTATGCTTCATATACATATATATGTTTTTGAATTATCTTGGTTACCTCTTGTTATGGTTTATGTCTGTATGTCCCCCAGGAGCCTTGTACACACTTGTAGGTGGAGCTTTTGAACGGTGATTGGATTAGGGGGGCATATAGGTGACTTGCTGTTAGGTGGGGTGTGGTTGGAAGAGGCCGGTCACTGGGCACCATCTCTTCTTGGACCCTTGAATGCTGTCTGTATGTATCCCCAGTGCTGTAAGCACTTTCTCCTCCAGCATTCCCCCTGCCATGCGATCGTACCTTGGAGATGTTGCTGACAGTGGACTGAAATGTGAGCCAAAAGAAACCTCTGCTTCCTTAAGTTGTATGTGTTGGGAGTGTTGTCCCAGCAACTAGGGAAGTTAACCAAGATGGATTTTGGTACCAGATTTTGGAATTGTTGCTGTAACACAACTGGACCTTGTGGTTCATAGCCTTTGGAACTGGTTTGTAGGAGTTCAAAAAGATTTGGAGGTGCCAGCTAGAAAAGCAGCCCTACAAATGATGTAAGCCAAACTTGATGGGAGATTCTGGTCAGAGCTCACAAGACCAAAATGCTGACAGTAATGTAACTGGTATAGGCCAGGCACCCAAGAGGTTTCAGTTGGGAACAAGAACTTCATTGCAGTTGCATTCCAAGCCATGGGTACTACTGGGAAATCTGTCTGTTTTGCTTGTGACCTGAGATATTATGGAAGACCAAGGTTAAGGGCGACAATCTAATCTGGCAGGAGAAATTTCAAAGCAGTTCACTATTGAGGCTGTAGCATAGATACTTTTTGCTGCTTTTAGCTAGCTTTATACTGAAAATTAAGAGCTAAATGATTTTGAAGGTTTTGCATTTGGCCAGAAAGAAAACTGGTAAAGTTGGGGTCTACAAAGTTGAAATAGAGAAAAGCTTGGTTGCTAAAAAATATTAGCACTAAAAAGAAACCAAGTGCTCGCTTCAGCACAGATGCTAGAAAGGAGCCAAGCAGGCCACCTTGTGTGCCTGGGAAGCCTTGTTGTTCCCTTTCCCCTGGCTGGCAGCATGGAAGCCACATGATGTCTGAAGTTACTGGAAAAGGCATAAACCAGCAGGAGTTCATCAGAGCTCTAGCAGTTGTCCTCAAAAACTATGGGAAACTGAAAGTCACCAAATGAGTGATCAAGCTGGCCATGTAACAAAAAGCACTCTCCTCCGGCCAGTATACTTCAGTTTCTTAGTTGCTTGGGTAACGGCTCCTATTCCTGTTCTGGTTGCTTCTTTCTCTTGGGAACAACTGGTCACTGATGCATAACCAAGGACTGATGCATATTGTAAGACCCAACCCCTACTAAAAAGCCATTCTGCTTCTGTACTTCCTGCTTGCTTATCCCATATAAACCTTAGACCACCAGAGATCAAGGCCTGGTATTAGGGGCTGGGGATTTAGCTCAATGGCATAAGCACCTGCCTTGCAGCAGGCGGCTGTGAGTTCAATCCCTGGTACTGATAAAAATGAAAAGACAAAAAAAAAAAAAAAAAAGCCTGGTATTTTGGGAATGATCCCACTCAGTGCTGATTGATGTAAAATAAACCTGCTTTCAAATCCTAGGTGTTGTTTAGGTATTTCTGCTTGCCATTGCAGCC